CAATAAAGTAATGGCAACGTACTACAAAACTATTCATATACTGTGTTTTCTAGTAAAGCTTAGAGTAGCTTAACCTGGCTTTGAAATTGAAAAGTCTGACGAAAGTATTTCATCTCCAAGCCATCATCTTAATTAAGTGCAATGTGCAAGTCACACTGAAAAGTATGGCCTCGATATGTAGGCCTACCAGCCTGATGTTCGCCTCTGTCTGCCTGTCGGACGACATGCTCCCTGCCTTGATAACTGACAAATCATTTCATTTTTCATAGCAACAACAACAGCGAAAACAAGAGCAACGACGACAAAACGCTCTTAAAATATTTGCTCGTTCAATGACATTGAAAAGAATTCGTATATATTTGTGTATGCGTGTGTGCCTTTGCTTTTCATCTACAATGTTGACGTCGTCACTGACGTTTCGCCTGGCCGAATTTTGGCAACGCCCAAGTGTAGACTCTTCGATCTCTTGTCTCTTGTTCGCCCCATTTCATCGAAATTTATATGCTTTATAAATTCATGGGCTTGTCGGCCTTGTTCCTGGTCTCTGTTCGCTATTTTAAGCTACATGCATTGTGTTTGCCTTGTGCGCTATAAAAATGATAAAATATTTAATATTTTTAGCACGGCCCAGAACTTGGGTCGTATGTGTGTTTCGTTCCTCTAGTTGCCACGGTCATTTCATAATTGCACAAATTGATTACATTTCGGGCTACTCGCACGGTTCAGCATTTCCTTTTATTTCCGGGTAACTAAATTAGTCTCTATATGCTCAACTGATTCGTATCCCCGCAGTCCCCTCTCATCTGCCATCAATTCTGCAGCGAAAAGGTCAATGAAACGCGTGCTGCTGGTCGCCTGTCGCCCGTCTAATGACCGCCAACTGTGCCGCACAGCTGAGCACAATTTGGATACAGCCCTTCGGCATCAGCCAACGTCGAATTTTTACAAACAAACATCAGAAATGTCTGAGAAATCTTCATATTCTGTTCATGAAACACTTTATATACAATATTATACATTAACCATTAACTATCTCAGTATTTCTTCATTTGGTTTGTCCCAAACATTTAAGACCTGCTCTTGTGTACCTCAATATCTTATTTTTTATAAAAATATCACTTATTACTGCAACTTGTTGCTTATTAAATCAAAATTTGACTGAGATTCAGAAATTGCTTTAATTTTTTGAAACCCTTAGTTGACTAAACTGAATAATTCTTTCTTTATATATATATGAAAACGACCAAACAGTTAGTGGGTTTCGAGACCTTGTCAATATTTTATTTATCTATTTTTCTTCTTGCCACGTAGTTAAAAAGAATCAAAGCAAAAGTTATCTGTTCTTATTATTTTGAATATATTTGCAATTTATATTTTTTAAATTCAAATATATATTTCTATCGATTTGTCATTTGTTATTGCAATTCTCAGCAAAGCATATTTGCTTATGAATGGAAGTATTCCAATTGAATGCTTTTCTCATAAATTTAAACATCATTTTCATACTCTTCTCAACTAAAAACAATATTCTGATGTGATATCTCTTATCATTTAGACAAGGCTTTAGTCTGAATGTCAGTCATTATAAACTTATTTATTGTACTCAATTGCTTAACATCAATTCATACAATTTATTTTAAGCTCAGCAATATTTTATATTCGTGTTCACAAAGTGGATTACACCAAATGAAAATTCAAACACTTGAATGCATTTGTTTGCAAACAAATGGTTGCAGGTAGATATTTTTAATTAAATTGCGGTTGGTAAACATTTTATCAGTAACATACCAAATACTTCAGTGGCGCTGGTGTAGCGAATTGAGGTGGCAATTGTAGTCAATACAGCGAGCGCTTTACATTCATACTGACACACATCCATTCAATGCACATTTGCACAAATTCCACATTTGACCTGTTCTTCATATGCAACGGGCACCGGCCGATGCCACTGGCTGCCACTCGACATGGCGATGCAAAAACAATGCCCTTTGTTTCAGTGCAACTCGAACATGTCCTGCTCGAGAGACGACAGTCCTGCTTATTGTTTACTCTGGCGTTGAAGTTGTCGCCTTGCATAGGTCCCACGTGCGGTATTAGTAACATCGTATTATTATCCCCAGTCTGGAACGTATATAAATATATATTGATGTAAATATATATGTAGGTGGCTGTCAGTGTGTGTGCGCTCCTACTGTTGTGTTTAACTAGGTCAGCTTAAACGCCGCGTAGCAAAGGATTGTGCGCCCACCTGCCAGTTTCCACTGCGATGACCTTTTGTGCGAGGCTCTTGTGGTTTATCGTGGGTGTGTTTCGCGTAGACAAACAGCCGTAGAAACACACACGAACGAGCGCTCCACTCACAGAGAAAACACTGATAGATTCATCTATATATATATTACATATACACATGGGTTTTATATAAATATATATATATATATAAGTTAACACATAACATTTAATATAGGGTATTTCATAAGTTTATAACCAACCCTCGCTATCGCGTGTTTCGTAAGTTAAGAAACAGCCCTCGCAATTGCGACACTGCATACTTTGTATCAGCGCGCTATAACTGCAATGGTCAGCGGCGGTAACCAGATACTTTTGTTTACTGCAAGAGTTTCCGTTATTGCCTAAGATTGCTGAGTCGGCTTGCCGACCATGACATTGTGGTGTGATGCGAGTTTTGGCTTAGCTTAAGTGAAATATTCTATGTAGCTAAAAATCAGTTTTGCATTGAAGTTTGAAGAATAAACCCGCACTACTCCGGCACACCGCCGTAATCAAATTGTTATATTTCTGATCATTGCTGAGCCACAAGGCCAGTTAATAGAAAAGGGGGTGAAGTCAAACCCTCCAACATAATCATCATAAGAAGATTATAATTACCCGATCAACGCTGGACCTGCCACCGACGCCTAGCTCATAGCTGGACCAGCAACTTATTGATTAAGACTATAAATACCCGATCAACGCTGGACCTGCCACCGACGCCTAGTTCATCGCTGGACCAGCAACATATTAATTGGCGCCCAACGTAAAAAAAAAAAAAAAAAAAAAAAAAAAAAAAATTTTTTTTTTTTTTTTGGAATTTAAATCATATTAAACAAGCTTGCAGAAAAATTACGATTTATCCTGTCATTCACAAGAATTTCATATTGCGATTGCCTGACAACGTCATAGCCGAATGCGATGGAAAAACCCACACACTGCAGAGTTGCACCGCTTCACCTGGAGCCACCTTTTGTCGTCTGGCATTAGAGAGTTCATGTGCCAAAGAGCTCCATGCAGGTGGCACGGCACACTGTGAAATCCAGCCGAGCAACCTGGAAATAATCACCCACGTAGATGATGGAATCATCATTCTTAACGACGGGTCCGCAAGGATCCAGGTGGATAACGGCACTGAAATCCAAGTACACGGCACGCATCTCATTACGTTCGGGGACCGAGTCGCGATCAACGGGACTCTGTTTTACAACCACAACAACGTACGCAATAGAGTCCCGGGCATTGCCAACTCTCCCTTGCTGAACATCACTGCCAGCCAAGATGTCCTCAGCCTCCCTTATCTTCATCGTTTAAATGAACGTAATTTGGAGGAGATACAGCAATTCAAGAAAGACGCCGGAACTGATCAAGCTTATCGTGTGGCATTCATCATTGGAGGTATATGCTGTGCTTTAATCTGCATTGGCCTCACCCTTTGGCGGTTCATCGACGCAAGGAAGTCTGCGAAGCAATTACGAGAAGTCGTCGCCGGAATTGGGTCGGCCGAGGGCGGCCTTACACTTGAAGGGGGAGTAGTTAACACATAACATTTAATATAGGGTATTTCATAAGTTTATAACCAACCCTCGCTATCGCGTGTTTCGTAAGTTAAGAAACAGCCCTCGCAATTGCGACACTGCATACTTTGTATCAGCGCGCTATAACTGCAATGGTCAGCGGCGGTAACCAGATACTTTTGTTTACTGCAAGAGTTTCCGTTATTGCCTAAGATTGCTGAGTCGGCTTGCCGACCATGACATTGTGGTGTGATGCGAGTTTTGGCTTAGCTTAAGTGAAATATTCTATGTAGCTAAAAATCAGTTTTGCATTGAAGTTTGAAGAATAAACCCGCACTACTCCGGCACACCGCCGTAATCAAATTGTTATATTTCTGATCATTGCTGAGCCACAAGGCCAGTTAATAGAAAAGGGGGTGAAGTCAAACCCTCCAACATAATCATCATAAGAAGATTATAATTACCCGATCAACGCTGGACCTGCCACCGACGCCTAGCTCATAGCTGGACCAGCAACTTATTGATTAAGACTATAAATACCCGATCAACGCTGGACCTGCCACCGACGCCTAGTTCATCGCTGGACCAGCAACATATTAATTTATATATATATGAATGAATGAAAACTTTGGCTTTTGCGTGCGCATTTCCGCTATGACAGTTGAAATTTTACTCAATCAACAAGTTTCATTTGTCATTTTACGCTTCGTCTCGCTTTATCGAACTGCTGTGACCGCAACAAAAAACAAAAGGACAGAGTGAATAAGCCTATGTTAAGTGAATCGAACACAATCTGAATATACACTATACAAACAATGCAGACGTTTGTGAACTCACATATAGAAAAAGTTGATTGCAGCTATGAAATAAAAATAAATTATTGAGTCAGTTATCGGTTTATTTCTGCTATATATCTATATGGCTTCTTTCTAAGCGCTTTTTTGAATGTTTATGTTGACGAAATACTCATATAGAGTATCTTCTAGTTGAATAACTTTTACTAGCCAACTCTCCAACTTGTTGCTGTAGAGTGCTTTCATTAAATATTTATAGATATTTTATAAATAATTAAATGTGGACTTTAGGGACGTCCTTTAGCGCAATTCACGCGTAAGCAATAGGTCGGGTTCAACAATGGATGCTCCCAAATCGATAATGTTGCTCAATAAACAAGATAACAAACAATATTGATGTATTATTTTTATTATATCGCAGATATTCCCGACATTCCCGATGACATTAAGCATCTGCAAAGCCTGCAGGTGGCCGACTTCAGCTCGAACCCGATACCGAAATTACCATCGGGCTTTTCGCAGCTGAAGAATTTGACTGTGCTGGGCTTAAATGACATGTCGCTTACAACATTGCCGGCCGATTTTGGCAGTTTGACGCAGCTCGAGTCATTGGAGTTGCGCGAGAACCTGCTCAAGCATTTACCCGAAACTATTAGCCAGCTCACGAAGCTGAAGCGCCTGGATCTGGGCGATAACGAAATCGAGGATTTACCACCATATCTCGGCTATTTGCCAGGCCTGCACGAGCTCTGGCTTGATCACAATCAGCTGCAGCGACTGCCGCCAGAGCTGGGACTCTTAACCAAGCTAACTTATCTAGATGTTTCCGAAAATCGGCTGGAGGAGCTGCCCAACGAAATTGGCGGCATGATTAGCTTGACCGATCTGGACTTGGCGCAAAATCTGCTCGAGACTCTACCCGATGGTATTGCCAAACTGAGCCGTCTGACCATATTGAAGTTGGATCAGAATCGTTTACAGCGCCTAAACGATACACTCGGAAAGTGAGTATAAAAAAATTTGTTCTGGGCTCCAATAAGAAACATACAATATTTTTTGTAGCTGCGATAACATGCAGGAGCTGATATTGACAGAAAACTTCCTATCCGAGCTGCCTGCCTCGATTGGAAACATGACCAAGTTAAGCAATCTAAACGTGGATCGCAATGCGTTAGAGTATCTGCCTCTGGAGATTGGCCAGTGCAGCAATCTGGGTGTGCTTAGTCTGCGTGACAACAAGCTGAAAAAGCTGCCGCCCGAGCTGGGCAACTGTACGGTGCTGCATGTGCTCGACGTGAGCGGCAACCAGTTGCTGTATTTGCCCTACTCGTTGGTCAATCTCCAGCTGAAAGCAGTCTGGTTGTCTGAAAATCAATCACAGCCACTGCTCACCTTTCAGCCGGACATGGATGTTGAGACGGGCGAACAGGTGCTCTCCTGTTATCTGCTGCCCCAACAGGAATACCAACCCATTACACCAGGTAAGTTTGAAATGTTAAGGGTAAATGGCAACTAGCAACTGGTAAATGCTGCTTGAGATCGTGATTTCAGGTGCGTTCTCATTGCTTTAGTCATGGGCCAAAAATTTCAACATTGGCCAATAAATATAGGGCGCTTATCTTTAGCTGGCATACTTTGCACGCGTATATGCCTGGGCCATATCGTCGTGGTGCAATCTATGCTCGCGATAAGATAAGAAGTTGAAACTTTTTTGTGATTGTCCCAACTAAAGCAATGCGCAATGCTTTGGATATCCAGTTGTAAACGCTTTTCTAAATTCTAAAATTTTCTTAATTATTTTGTTTTTTTTTTTTTTGTAACTAAAAACTTTGAACGTTATTTGGCCTTAAAATTTGTTCGTGCACCAACACACATTATTGAAAATAACTCAAATATCTCAATGTTCCTATTTTTATCGATTATGTTTATTCTTTTTTTTGCACTCTCAATACCTTACTGCACCTTCACTCACATATCTTAAACAAACAAAAACAAACACACAAACAAAAATATTCCAAAGATTATCCACCTCAAGCGCTTTATAGATCTAGCGAAAAGTTCGATTCGATGGATTTCTTCAGTTATCAACAGAAAGGTTTGCGTTGCCTGTAACTTTTCCAATAACAATCGCTATTCATATAAAACCCATATATATATAGTTGGCATGTAACAATAAATATATAGCAGAGTTGTGAATCTTTTTATAGGGCTGTGTTAAATAAATGTTTATTATTTTTTCATGTTTTACTAATATTTTGTATAAAAAAATTAATACAAGATATGTCGAAAAATTAATTTTAGTGATGTATGATAGATTATGCATATGTAAAGCTTCAAACTACCAAATTTGTAAACATTTATCTTCGGTACACAACTCTACTAAATAGTAAGCGCATATAATCGTTTAGCCTTAACTTATGCATGCCCTTTCCTTACGTCTGTTACCTTAAAAACTCTAAACTCTGGCTTTGAGAAAGAATCTACTAAAGCCTGCTCTTTTGTCCATTGTGGTTGCTTTTAGAACTTGTATTTTGTTGTTTTGCTTAAAGAAAACCAGTTTAGTGCCGTCAGATGACGTCATATAAATCAGATAACAAGAAGTTGTATGTGGAAGTTGGGCCAGTCGTGGCCATGCCAAGAGGGTATAAGCTGTGGAGCAGCATTAGTAATGTGCACACCCATTCCATTCACAACATGTACTTCAGAAAGCGCACTCGGATTGTGATTTGCTGTTTGATTTGATAATGCTATTATTTGCTGTGTATATTCATTCATTTGACAGCCGGTCCGGAAAATATTTGCCTTGCGCGTGCTTTCCATCAAAGATCCCACCGCATTGCCAATCATTCAACGCTCGGCTCTTGAACGATAGCTGCCTAGTTTATGCTACTGATTCGTGGCTTGCTTTCCCATATCGATACAGATTCTGATTCAGATACGAAATCTGTTATTAAACAGTTGCCTGTCAGTAGCAGCACGTCAGATCAAAGTGTCTGTTCCGCTGCACAGCCGTTTTCTTTGTTTAGACACCCCTGCTCCGAGTGATGTCAACTTTAATGACGTCATGTTCTGGTCTGGATTGCTCTGAATGTAGAGCAAGATCGACAGGCGGTCGATGAATACATATAATTGAATTCACGAGTAATCGTATTTTAAAAAAGACCCGATGCTTAATAATATTAATCGTTTTCTAAGAGAGCTCACGATTCTAGACCGACAAAATGTGTACATTGATAAATTGACTGTCTGTTAGTTACAGTGAAGCATGACATTTGAAGAACATTGGAATATGCCTAATGAGAACTTTATTTAACAAATATCATACTTTGTGGTCTTCCTCCAATTGTATTTTCCAGTAACTAAACCCAACTATTAAAACAGCCGAATAGAGAATTCACGGGTCTAAGTCTGTAGATAAACTTGATTGCTTATATCATATATCATTCAGTATAATTCAGTGTGGTATGCCTTGTTTCTCTCGATGTTTCACTGTGGAACTCATTCATATTGTTTTCGTTTTATTGCGTAGTTTTACTCTCAGCCTCGCTAGTTTGGCATTCAATAATAATATTTTGTAACTGTTTTCAAGTCGGAAACCAGTTTTAAAGCAACGCGCATAAAGTGCTAAAAATACATCGATCAGATCATCAGCCTTTGTGCTCGTTCTTCATAACTTGTACTCATCGTGAAGTATGTTTAATAGTTTTGTGTAAGCGACTGTGAGGGGCATAAAGTTCTCTGTCTATTTATGAGAAATGAAAATGAATCAAGCATGACTTAGAGATTATAAGGTCTAGATGCATATAACTTACTATAAACACATTTGCAAACATATTCCTAGAGTTGGTGATAAATTCATAAACTCTGGATAAAATGACATGCTGCGGCCTTTGTGTACAGGATATTATTGTAGTCTATCAGTCTCAGCTCCTGTTACTCATGCCTAAGCTTGAGAATGCTGAATTAAATGATTTTCGTGAGTGCATCAAGCATATTTCTATCCAATTAACACACTTGCGTGAAAATGCTCAAGACCAGTCGGCGCGGCGGCTCTTCAATAGAGTCGAGTGCATATATGTGGGTTAAGCTTTTTGGGGGTCTGTTGCGACATATAGTGGCTGTGCGTGGTGGCTGCGCCCGCGTCACTTAGACGTTCAAATTATCCAATTAAAGCTATGACGGTCAAGACACGCAGTCGTTAAACCGGCGAGAGACAATAGACAATGGGCGCCCCTCAGCATTATTATTGTTATTACTAGTCTGTTTTATTTACATAAATCTCCATATGAGCATAGCTGAAGCCCCGCCAAATCACTTGAGCTATCAGTGGCGGTAACAACGTCCGTAAACACACAAACACACCCCACTTGGTGTTGGTCATTGTAAAAATTTGTTGTGCTCAGTAAAAATTGTAAGTTACGAGCTGACATTGGATGCAGCTACTTAAGCCAGGGCCAACTACTTCCGTCATAAACAACGATTTGAATTTGTGTATTGATCAGCGCCACTGGCCGCTCTTCTGACCGCAATCCAGCCGCTCAATGTATTATAAATGGTGAGCGGGTTGCCCACATGTTGCAATTTTAATATTGTTTACGAGTGGAAATTTATGGCGCACATTCCCACAAGCACTTGATGGATTAGAGAGTATCTGCGGATGCGGACGGGGGGAGAATGTTTATGCCACTGCCTGAAACAAATAAAAATATTTATATATATATATGCCTCGTTGTTGCAGTTGGGTTTTCAATTGCCGTATGTATTGAATTTATATAGGCTGAGCCACAGGTCGTTAAGCGAAAATAATGTAAATATTTAGAAATCATACCGACAGCTCCTAACTATGCATGCGCATGCCTTTTTTTTAATATATCAATTAGTTAAACAACAATAAAGAGTAAATTATTCATAAACAATTTTCACTTCTGCCGCAGCACGCGATTTGGAATCAGACTCCGAGCCGTACGAGGAGCGTGAACCATCACGAACCATTGTCAAATTTTCAGAGGAGGTCGCCCAGGAGAAGGATACGCCATTTGTGCGCCAGAATACGCCGCATCCCAAGGATCTAAAAGCGAAGGCCCAGAAACTCAAAGTGGAGCGAAGTCGACATGAAGAAAATGTCAATTTGGTGACACTGCCAGAGGAGGTAAATGATACAAGAAGATCAAGTGAACAGGTTCAAGTGTCAAGTTTATGCCTCTACTTCAAATGCCCCTAATTGCCATGAAAAAGAACACAATTTACACAATTGGGGTTCATCAAAGGCATGCTTACTCTTGAACGCATTTCAAAACTTCTGACCTCATTTTATGGTAGTTTAATAAACCGTATTTTATTGATATTTTATTCTTATTAATGTTCCTACATATCTATCTATAATACCATTATTTTATTTTAATCAATTTTTTCGATTCGATTCTATTTACCAACTTTCTATTTACCGTAACTTTCTATTTACCCTAATTATAAAATATATAAGCTATTATTTATCCATACTAACAGTATTATTAGTAATATTGATATCTAATTAAAATCAAATTCAATTTAGCTATACCGTTTTTTTCTTATATATTTTATAATTATAGCTCAATTTTTAAAATTTAAAATTAAAGTATTGTATTTATAGGTATGCTTTTATTCGCCTAGTTACATATAATGCTTATCTTCTGGATTAAATTAAACTTTTTACGCTACTATTTTCTGCTTCCTTAACATTTTGCATACTAAAATTTATATCCAATTTATTTGTAACAGAATGGCAGCAAGTTAGTCGTGACAGAAACCCCCGCTGTGGCCAATAGTCAACAACAGTTAGTGGTGACAGCCACCAATAACTCAACTACTGCTCAGCCAATACAGAAACCAGCTGCAGTGGTGAATTCCAAACCCGCTACAGTTGGTGTCATTTCACCAACGCAATCTGCAGCAACCGCAGCTGCGCCACCAACCACCACACAGGGTGACTCAGTGTCAGCAAAAACCAGAACCAACAGCGGCAGCGACATTGCAGTAGCAACAGTTGCTGATGTCGCTAATGCTGAAGATGATAAAGATGAATATGTGAGTAGCTTATACTTTACAACTAATAAAATAAGTTTGATAACCTTTTTTGGTCATGCTTCTAGGAGACCGACCGACGCGTGGGATTTCAGGTGGAGGGCGAAGACGACGACTTTTACAAACGACCCCCCAAGCTGCATAGACGGTAAGACATATTAAGAAGTGCGTTGTGCATCATGTTGTTAATCCGATTGGTACTCTCTTAGCGATACGCCGCATCATCTAAAAAATAAACGCGTGCAGCACTTGACCGACAAGCAGGCCAATGAAATTTTAGCCAATGCTTTGGCCTCACAAGACCGCAATTCGCCTACGCCGCAGCACTCGCTGACCAATGTTCAGTCCCCCATCGAGGAGAATGCCGATGCCGAGCAATATGAACAGGAGCAGGAGCAGGAGCAAAAACAGCAACCATTCGATATATCGCTCTCCCCAATACCAGCCCCCAAGGCCGAGGCCGCAGGTAATGCTTTTTAAAACAATAAAAAATAGCTCTTCAGAGCTCTCACTATTTTAAGAGGCTCTCTTAAATGCTCAGAATGCAACAGCAGGCTACGCCCCACAAATAATCAATAACCAATCGATGCGTTTGTCCATTCTTAAAATATTTCAGTGTAATTCACATTTTAGGTACTTATGACTGATTATACTTTGGTTTATTTCTTTTCGTGTAAAGAACCGTTAAACTCTATAGAAAAATATGTCAAGAAATGTATTTTTCATTTACTTAAAATAATCATAATTACGATACCCATCTGCAGCTTGCGTGTAGAATAAATAATAGCAAAACAAAAACTTCATTGCAATCGAAATAGTTGGTTTGAAAAGGAAAAAGGTCTTAGTCAAAGTCTGATTAGGTATGGGAAAAAACTACTAGCCAATAACATTAAGTGAAATTGACTTTCTACAATCCGAAATCTACAAAAAGAGGTCTTTATAAATGTATTTCCACGAAGAATTTACCGCTCTGTAGCTAATAGATTTTATCTTTCTGCTAAACCTACCAAACCTAAACAATTCCAAGTTTAAGCCAATGTCTACTGCTTACTTTCAGCTCTTAGAACTAATTACGTAATGTATTGTACTTATATTAAAGTTGGGTTTCGCGACGTTTCCTAAGCGTGGAAGGTACACAGTGCAGTTTCAATGAACAATGCATCCTCCCGCAAAGAGTAAAGAGTAATAAGGGACAGTACATTTGTTAATGAACTGTATTAAGGTTCCGCATTTCAAGTAAGGTATTCATATGCATCAATGACAGTGAAAATTGTGAAAAGCTGACGACGTCTTAGGTCAGTCCTGGCTGTAATCAAGCATGTTGAGACAATCAGTTCAGGAATGATTCGAGTACCAATTTGAGTTAACTACGGCAACAAAGATTTAATTATCTCACAAGCCCATTAAAAGTGCGTTAAGATAAAAAAGTTTGGGAAGAAAATATGTGCGCAACAGGTAAACAAGCGCACGAAATTCGGTCTATAAATAAAAATACACACAACTCCAGTTATTAGGGCCAGTACAGCGCCTATATATAGGGCCTGGGGCTATCAGCAAGCGCTATCTGTTTGTTGGCTTGCAAAAGCTGATAAAACAAACAAGAACGTATAGATGTGTGGGGCTGGCAAGTGGGAGAGTAGATAACTACAGCAAAAAGTCAGTGTGAACACTCGACAAAAAAAAGATTAAAGAGGCAAATGAGCGAAGCGCCAAAGAGCGACAGCTACGAAGAGCGCAACAAGTTGAGAAAGTGTAAAAAATGAACTAAAAACGGAAAACTGAAAACTGAAGCTGAAGCTGAAGCTGAAATCAGCCGCCTCATTATGGCAAATGTCGAGTAGCCACCTGAGCGAGTCTGTGTGTATAGGTAGGTGTACTGTGAGTACTGTTGGTAGAGAGAAAGAGTGACAGAGAGAGACAGAGAGAGGGAGAGAGAAAGAGAGGAAGAGTGAGTGAGTGCAATTGGCAGTCTGCCTCTGGGTCTGGGTCTCGACACTTTGCCCATTTGCCGCTGACTTTAGTCATTTTTTAGTAACGCTGGCGTTTTGTCAACATCGCGAGAGCGCGCGCTACATTTAACGCGTTTGTCTTGAGTTTCATACAAATACCATTTACTATTATTTGTTTATTATTATTAACGCCTGCTGAGTAGACACACACACAAACACACTCTCACACTTGAGATCCAAAACAATAGCAATAATAACATTGACGTCCAAATCTTCACATACCTTGACTTAGTCATAGGCCCAAAACAAAGAGCGAAATGTAAAACACACAGTTGCTTGTTAAATCTATATATATATATATATTTATATGTATAGTATATTTTACAAAAGGGTGTGAACTGTTGTTGCTGTTTATCGATTTAGCTGCAGCTACCTATCCACTGATTAGACACTGTCTGTCGGCCGAGTCTTAGGTTGCTGATACGCAGCGTTGGCCCAAATTGAATTTCAAGTGCAAATTTGCAAAGTGTAAGGCGCTGCAGCTCTTGCAAGGTCGGTATATCTGCTCAAGGTTATGCCATAGCACATGAGCTGCTGCCTTGGAGCTTCAGTTGCTTCCGCTATTTGCATTTTGGTTGCAATGCAATACGCTGAAAAAAGAGCTTGAAAGGAAATTTTGTATGTTGTTTATATAGTCACAGAGTTCTATCTTGCTCTGCCCCTCCCTTCCTCTCTCTCAATCTTTATATATTTGCACATGACAAATATGCCAAGTCTATCTCCTTTGTGTGTGTGTCTGTGTGGGTCTCTGTTGTAGTAGTAGTGTGCATATCCGGTTTACTGGCTGCTCGCTGCCTTCCTTCCTTTTGCTTTTTATTTTGGTTAGCTGCTTCACAAGCACAATCAACATTTGCTCAGTACCTTTTTGCATTGCTTTGGCAAACACTACGCTGCATTTGCCATCAGCTCGCATTGTGATTTCTTAAAGTGTGGCTGCTGCTGCTTAACCCCCAGCCCTCAACCCTCAATAATATATAACCGCCAACCCAGCCGTACGTTGGCCAATAAATAATCCGAAACCGTTGATAAGCCCAAAGCAATGCAATTGATTTTATGTATTGTATTGCTGATTGCACGCTGGGCCCTTATTGAATTTCTGCACTGTGCGTATTTGTTTTGTTTGTTTGCCGAACTGCCCTTTTGCTATACTAAACACTCTTGTTGGATTATTATTTGCCCGTGTCGTCGTCGTCGTTGTTGTTGTTGTTGCTGCTGCTGCTGCTGCTGCTGCTGCTGCTGCTGCTGCTGCTGCTGCAGGCAACAATTTTAACTATCCGCATTTTGATGGATATTTCACTGTCGAATACTCGTTCAATTGTTCCTTATTTTCAGCAGCTTAAATGGTTGCATTTTACTTTATAATTCAACATTTCTCACACTGAAATTAAGCACAAAAAATGCAATAAATGTCAGTTAAAGAAAATATGGCTAAGAAATAAACTGCGTAACCGACAGGAATAGCGGGAGCAAGCGGCGACAGCGGAAGTGGAGATGGTTATGTCACACGATTTTGCATTACACTTCACAGCGAGAAAATGCGGCAAATGCGCGAAATACTAGAAGCTTATTGCTACGGGCCGAGCGAGGGGAGTTTGATTTGACGGCTGAATAGGCAACATGTCAGTGAACAAGCGTTCTGTATGTGTCAACAGTGAACACACGTCAAACTGCGTTTTAATATGCTTAACCTTCTGATTCGCTGGTAAAAAAGCTGTTACGGAATATATAACATTTGCAATAGCTTTTTGTTTCGGATAGAAATTAATCATAAATCCTGATTTATCTAAATAATTATGATTCTCTTGAACTCTAAATCGATATGCGATGACAAGAAACCCATTTTAATTGACATTCTCTATGTAGCCAACCAAGAATTTATATAACTTTTCCAATGAAATTGAAAGCTATTGAGTTCAATTCATTTTTTGCCTAACCAACTCAGCCCTGACAATTTTACTCTAATGAATCATTTATAATTCGCATACTTTAAGCACTATATAGTATTTCTTACAATCCTACTTCATTCACAAACAGTTGTCAGGCTTGCGAATTATGCGCTAAATTGAACTTAAAATTAATGGACTTATGATGTCATCGCTTAGCTTATTACACACTCGTACCCACACGTATGGACTCACACACCTGTAGTAATTTGTGGGAGTGTGCGTGCATTGTATGTCATTTCTTCATACCGTAATATCAATTTTTGTTGTCCGTCGCAGCGTAATCATTGATAAGCCAATGGTGTATGGGCCCCTTGCTCGAAATTACGCATACGACAGGTGGACCAAGGTCATTAACTAACGCTTGACTTTGGGCTCGTGTAACGTTGGTGCTGTTCGCCGCCCCAAATATGTCGTAATGATTCAGTTTTCCAATTTTTGCTGCGTTATCGCAGCCCCCAATTTACTTTTCATAGCTGCGCGTCAGCGATGTTTGTTTCTGTTTTTATTTCGTGATTCTGTTTCTGTTGTGCTTTGTGCGCTTATCAAATTGGCTTTAGGCATTCCAAAGTTGTTGTTGTCATACCTGTACACGGCCGATTAGATATGAAAGAGCGCACCCCTTCTCAGGGCAACTCATTACAAAATGCGTAGAGTCTAAGCAGCTATCCTATCAAAGATAGACACAATAAAAAGTATTCTTTTTTATACACCTCTAAAGGGTGTTTTAATTTAATGATGAAATGTGTAACTTATATACATACCTAACCCGTATCAACAGAAGTCTTTTGTTCATCTATCGAACCATAATTTTACTTTGATTTACCAAATGTCTTCGATGCTTTCGCCTCCGCTCGTGTGCTATCAAGATTTTTAAATTCTATAGCCGCTAATGGAACGTTGGGCTGGGCCAACAAGGATATATAATTTTCAGTGGCGCAGATAACAAAGTTCCACATTTTGCATTGCTTTATAACAATAATTCAACTTTTTTATGTTACAACAAAAATGGTGATTCATTAGTTTTTGTCACCACATTTAAAAACGTCGCTCGACTGGTTGCTCGCTGGATTTTGATAGCTATACACTTACAATTTGTCAAGAGCTCCCACAACATGACCGGCAATTTATCACAACGGCTGCCGGCTGAGCCCTGCGATACAACGTGCCACATAAAATTTCACGGCCGGGCACAGGGCAGAGCCAGCTCACGTGCTCATCGATAGCTCTTTAAATGCAATTGGACAGTTGATCTTTTGCTATTAGCTTTAAAAAGAGAAATCCAAATGGAATGCAATTAAAGCGTTTATATTTGCGGCCATTGGCATTGGGTATATAAGGGTCTGTGGATCAATTGATAGCAGTCGGAATATAAATGAAAATTCCGTTGTGGCGGACAAGTGCCCAGCTCATCAGTTGGCATAAAGTCTATGACATGCGTCCATTAAATTTGCATAAAGAAACTGTTTTTGCAAGTTTTCGCAGCAAGTTCGACTTGTGTCATAAAGAGAATATGTCAATGGTCTGCCAGTAGCAACAGAAGTAATGCGAACATGTCAACAAGCAGGCTATAGGGTACGACGCTATGCTAACACTGAACTTGGACTCGAACCAAGAACATGCCGGAGACGCCTGTCGGGCTGTCAATGCCCGGACACAGGACATGCTCGACATGGCTGGACACAAAGCACAAAGCCTGGGTTATATGTGAAATATGAGTTTTGCATCTGAGCTAAAGGCCAGGCGCCAGGGGCCACAGGCCCAGACCTGCCCAGGGATTTTGGTCATATGTACACACACAAATTCCTTGACTCTCAGACTAGACCAGGTCATTTACATATAAATAACCAAAACGCGTCCCAGGCAACGGCAACGCATTGATTTGGCATTCGCCAGCTGTATGTCACAGTGTGGGGGGCAGGCGAACATTCTCTGATTCACTCTTCTCACATTGAATGTGCGTTCAGGGAAATCGCGTTCTGTTGTTGTTTAGAGTTTTCCCAGCAGCGCTTGTAATGAGTTTTACCCGCGCACTTTATGAGCTGTTCCATTTTTGGCGTATTTATATTTTATATCTTTATCTTCATTCCCTTCTTTTCGCTCATTTGAGTATCTTTAAAATACTTAAATTCATACTTAAATGTATAAAGAATGTCGTAAAATGCTCAATGTTTATTTGAGTGCGTGGAAATGGTAACTTCTATACACGCTGGCACGTGGCGCAGCTAAAAATTAGAGTTGATCAAAGAATGAAACGCTTAAGATATTGTTTTTTTTTTTCAACAAATATAATGAGTTTTTACATAATTCGAATCTGTATTCAGTACAGAATTGTATCGAATATGCAAATGCCATCAAAGTTAAAAAAATCTAGTTGATTATATTTCTTACCAAATCCACATTGCCAAAATTTCTAAAGTACATTTGTCGCTCATATTTAGACATATATAATACGGCTTAAACTGAGAACAAAGAACTGGCTTTTGGGCTAGCTTAAGGCTCGTAGACATTAAATCTGCGCCAATAAGCTAGAATCGTTTTCTCCACCTTTGCACTTGTTGCCAACTTAGAGGCAGCTGCTGTGGCTATAGTCTCACAACCAATCACACACAGACTGTGACACATAAGCAATAACACACTCATGCAGTCAATTCGTGTAATCAGATTTGAGTCTGCCAAATCCAGTCTTATATATTTTGTTTGCTATTTTGTATTCTCATACCTAGAAGGTATAGAGGGAACTATAAATTGGTCGGAAAATACATTTTTGCTAAGTAACAACTGATGCGATACATACATATTTAAATATATAGTCATAGCCCTTATCAACTCACTAAATTATCTAATCTGATTACTATGGCAGGCAAATGAAAGAATATTGTTCTTTATTTCAAAAATTAAGACCATTATCTTCGGTATCCGTGTTATTTTATATATGTTTATATATACAAGCACACAAGTATTCTCAATTTCAGCAAGAGTTTTTCATGTTTGTGCTTGTGTTTAGAGATTTTGAAGAAAAGTGCAAAAGATTTCTTCGTGGCTTTGCTTTCAAGTCCTAATTTGTGTGCACGTATATGCGTCTGTGTGTGTGTGGTGTGTGGGAAAAGCCATAAAATGTTTTTATATGGCGCAGCATCAGTAAAATTGTTGAGCATTTCACACATTTACTCAACAAGAAGAAAAAATGAAAATCTTTTCGTTTTTATTGCCGTATCTTTTATTATTCGTCGTTGTTTTATGATTTAAATAAAAGCCTTTTCGAATAATTCAGGCGGAACTCAAAATAAGTAATTGCCAATTTATTACAACAATGAGCAGCGATATTTTGGGCGAATGTTAAACAGAAGCTTATAAAAAGTGGAATTTAATAATTTATATTCGTATCGATTACACCGCGAATAACTGTCGGTTTGAATACATCAAAAATGTAGGCTTCAATTAATATTTGAAATTATAATTTCGAAGCGACTCATGCCATTAGACTTGACAGTCATTAAAACCGAAATAAGTTTAGCAAACTGTGGACGGATTTATTGAGTGTAAATCAACCAAGTTGGCAGCGGGGGCAGTTGAGAGATGTAGTCATGGTGTAGACAACGAACATAGGCTGTCCTCCTTGGGACTCTCTATCCTAATTTATTTAATTATTATACAAAAGTTGCTTGAAGGCCTTCATGGGTAGATGTTGGCGTGCGCGCGCTTTATGCCTTAAGGTCGTTGGCTTTATGAGCCAAGAGAGGCCATATTGGTCTGCTCTCCACTCGCTTATTGGCCTTGACTAGGGCCCAGCTGCAGAATTTTCATTTGGCCAAGATACTTTTGTGGGCCATTCAATTTGCAAAGAAATATTGATATCATTAATGTGTAATTTATGCAATGCATTTAAATTAAATTTTATCTATTGAGTCTGTCGGCTCGAATGTATTGACAATAAAAAAATTGTATTTTATAATTTTCACAATCTGTTCAAATTTATATTATGCAATTTTCCAATCAAGCGCACAGCAATAAAGTGCAGGGTGTGCAAATGTTTGGCTTATTGAAAGCGCATTCAAATGAAAAGCTTCTTTACCAAACAGGGTGAATTTTCAATAGTGCAACAGTGAACCTATGAAAATGTTAAGCAGCGCATATTGAAAGTGCATTCAAGAAGAAACTCATAAGCTGCATCATGTTCAATGTCAAAATTAAAGTCAAAGAGGGCAACAACACACTGCCTCGAAGCGCACAGCGCACCAATGGTAGCTCCTTGATTGCCGCCGGCGGCAGCGGTCGAAACAGTCCTGCCACGGGCAGCCTACGCAGCTCGCTGGCCTCCTCCAATGGTGGTTCGTTGCGCCGCAAAGGCAAGCACGTGCGCATCGTGACCAGCTACGATCCTATAGAGCGGGACTATGAGCGAAATAGGCAGCATTTTGGTAAACAGTTGTAAACCAGTTGAGGTCGCAAAACTCTTCTCGAACGGAGACCTAACAAGTTTATTTCCTTGCAGACAACATTGATGGCGTGACGGAGCTGCGTCTGGAGCAGTACGAGATACACATTGAGCGTACCACGGCGGGCTTAGGCCTGAGTATAGCTGGTGGCAAAGGCTCCACGCCATTCAAGGGCGATGACGATGGCATTTTTATATCCCGCGTAACTGAAGCGGGACCCGCCGATCTGGCCGGCCTTAAAGTTGGCGATAAGGTGCTCAAAGTAAACGGCATTGTTGTCGTAGATGCAGATCATTACCAGGCCGTACAGGTGTTGAAGGCTTGTGGTGCAGTGCTGGTGCTGGTAGTACAGCGCGAAGTGACACGTCTGATTGGGCATCCAGTCTTTAGTGAGGATGGCAGCGTCTCACAGATCTCTGTAGAGACACGTCCACTGGTGGCTGAAGTTCCAGCTGTCACACAGGAGCGTTACATTCCTCCGCCCATTCAAATAGTTCCAGAACAGCAGCAACAGCAGTTAGTGCAACAGTTCCAACAGCAGCCACCTGCTCATACCTATTCGAGCAATGTGTTCGCCACATCCGCGCCAGCCATAAATGGAATGCTGCAAGAAAATGGCAAGGTAGTAGTATAAGCCGCCGTTTTCCCTAGAACATTTGATTGATTTGTGTTGGCATTGTGGTTTTTTGACAGGATCTGGCACCATTGAGCTTTATTCAATTGCACACAACGCTTATACGCGACCAAATTGGTCAGGGATTGGGCTTTAGCATAGCCGGCGGCAAGGGTTCACCGCCGTTCAAAGATGATTGCGACGGGATTTTCATATCGCGCATTACTGAGGGCGGTCTGGCGCATCGCGACGGCAAAATCATGGTTGGAGACCGTGTGATGGCTGTAAGTGAAACAAACCATGCTGTAGTTTAAGTGACTGACGCTAATTGCATTTCATTGTATAAACGAAAACACCTTTTTCGCTGCAGATTAACGGCAACGACATGGCGCAGGCACATCACGACGCGGCTGTTGCCTGCCTCACTGAGCCGCAGCGGTTTGTGCGTCTCGTGCTTCAACGCGAATACCGGGGTCCACTTGAACCGCCACTGAGTCCGCGCAGTCCCGCCGTGCTCAACTCGTTGAGCCCATCCGGCTATCTGGCCAATCGACCAGGTTAGAAACTATTTACGCCTCAATGCATCGCTCTCTTAACTTAGTTAACTTTTTCCTATCTCTTTCGTTCAACCGCTTCTCTCTCCTCGAACAGCAAACTTTGGACGCTCTGTTGGCGACGAGCAGCCCTACAAGTACAACACATTGGCCACCATGCCCGCGGCAACTGTGACGACTGGTGTTGTCCATAATAACAACAGCAATAATAATACCCTTCCCAGCAATAAGACCAACGGATTTGCAACAGCTGCTGCCGTCAATGCTGCACCTTTTGCTACTGTTGCTGGCTCTGGCGCTGCTCCAGCTGCGCATATTGACAAATCCACGGGTCAGCCTGTGCCAGCGCCACGTCGTACCAACTCAGTGCCTCAGGCTGAAGGCGATGGCCCGCTTAATGGCGCCGCATCCACCAGTAGCGGCGACTCTGGCGAGGCTCAGGTAAGATAACAAGCGTATACTTTGTAGTAGTTCTTTGTAGTGTTAGTGTCCTAGCTTAAGTCAACTATCTAGTTGCCTGCACGTCATTTTAATGTGTATCATAAGCTCGTTTGTTCGTTCCTTAATATTATATGCTCAGGCTAGCCTTAAGTAACCTTCAGGCCAACACTAAAAACCATAAAAACTTGTGCGACAGCTAGTCAAATCTTGTGCAGGTAAGTTTAAGAATGGATGTTGGCCAACTGACGCACAAGTTCACGCCCAAGGATTCACGCAAATTGTTGTTGATAAACACATAAACACTCCTTCTTTTACAAGCTCATTTTATATACAATAAAACGATTTAAATATATTGAATATCTAATTGTGCTAATACATACTCGTATCTGCCAGTTTATCAACCTATAACCCTAGCTCTTAGCCAACACACATACATAAATACTACATAAACACAATATTAGTACATACTATATATACTATATACATATATTTACCAAATTTGTTTGTGTTTGTTTTGCATGTGCCCTGTGCGCGCCCTATTCGTGTTTTATCTTGTTACTTCTCGTCATTTTTTGGTCTCATATTACCCCCAAGCATTTATAGATAAGTATGCACAAGCAATTTGTGTTGCTTTTTTGTCCTTGGCTTATGCGTACGTATGCACTGAGATTGAAGAGCCCAGTTGAGGGCGGGTCTGGACAGAAGCTGTGTATATACATTTATAAAAGTATATAATTTACAAAACGCCACACATTCATACCATCTACAGCCAGAAAGATTAGCTTAGCTTTTAGACCCAAATTCAAAAACATGTGTAACGAAATTTACAAAAACCAACATATTTTTGTTTCTTTTTCTATAAAACCAAATGTTGCATTAAAACTGAACTTTCCACCAAAAAAAAAAACAAATAAAATATCCAAAACCGAAAAAATTGTCCAAATCAAATGCAAAAAAAAAAATAAATAAAAAATCAACCATCTACGACAACGAGCAGCCCTCATCTCTACGGCCATTGACTAGCGATGATTTTCAGGCGATGATTCCGGCACATTTTCTCAGCGGCGGCAGTCAGCATCAGGTGCATGTGGCACGGCCCAACGAGGTGGGCGTCAGCGCTGTCACTGTGAATGTTAACAAACCGCAACCAGACTTACCCATGTTCCCTGCCGCGCCCACCGAGATAGGTCGCGTCACCGAGACCATCACCAAGTCAACATTCACGGAAACTGTGATGACGCGCATCACCGACAATCAGCTGGCGGAGCCATTGATCAGTGAGGTGACTATCACAACATCACGCATACACTAAACGCAAAAAAAAAATAGCAAAATGCCAAAAGACACCAAAGTTGTCAAATATATATAGATATATATATAAATATATATATATATATAAATATATACATATATATAAATATATATATATATATATATATATATATATATATATATATATATATATATATATTTGTACAATACATTCCCTGTATTAAGTGGCTCCACGCTCTCCCGAACGTAGCGGAAATGTTGAAACATTGTGTGGAAGTTCCCCATGGGGCATCATTTTGCTGCTCATTGCACACGCAATCAACAACAAGGATGAGAGCTTCTTTTCACCTACTTATGCACAACATAAACACACACGCACACACACACACCTACATACACACACATACACATACATCCACAAAAACACTTTTTTATTTTAAAGTTTACAAATGTAATTGGCTCTTTTCTATTGTTGGCCCTCATCTTATTTGTATAGCCGTTAAGCACCTATATAAAACGTATTGTAAATAAAATAATTTGTGCGTTTTTGCAAACGAAATGATTTGATCGAAACTCCTCCTTGCTTGTAATGCACTACGGACGCTACAGCATAGACCCAAGAATGTTTCGAACTACCATGTTGAAGCGTTTGAAAAATGCGATGTCCAATGCACATGATTAAATAATTACAATTGAAATGTTCAGCATTATGCAAAACACGCACATCGAACTAATTTAAAAAATAGTATTTAATTATAGTTATGACTTAGTTGTAGTCGGTCTATGGTCCTCTTTAACCAATACTATTGTAAGCTATGAAATCGGAAAGGATTTGCAATTGGTTAATGGTGCATGCAAAATACGATTTATGATTATTGAATTCAATTTGGTTGTTTATAATTAAAAGTTTGATTTGATATTTACTAACGAAATAATTAAGACCTTTAACTTTTTTACGTGTTTAAGAATAAATATAATTTTTAAAGTGGTTTTTATCGCAAACAAAACTTACTAACGCGAGCACAATAAAATAATTATATCATAATTTTAGTATTTTATAATCAATTTCTAAATATAATTCAGATTAATACGATTATATATAATGTTTTATATACGAATATGTGTTATATTATGATACAGCTTAGTCAAGTCGCATATCTTTATATGACTACCCCTGAAAGAATTTGTAGATGAAAAATAAAACTCCTTGGTTCTCACGTCATTTTACACTCTATAAATTTTACATAAACTTCTATATATTCTCTATAAAGAGCTCTCTACTTCAACATATCTATCAGATCTGAGCTGACATAAAAATCAATTATTAAATGAATTTACTCAGTACTTTATTTTGACATAGATTAGATAACTACACAATAACAAGAAAACAAAAAGAAAATATGTCTAGAAGACTAGTCAAGTCCTCCTTACATCACAGATAACAGCGCTACCTTGTTCATTCTACTACTAATATAAGTTGATTCAAGCTAAATTTTTTTATACCAAAACAATTGTATTTAAACATAAATCCCATGATGGGAATAACTTAAAACCCGGTTGAACATATACAAATCTGTGCAACTGTATTGGATTCCCTCTCAAGCGTTTGCTACATGAATAAGCAATTGAAACAAGATGTACACACAGAGTCCGTTCAATAATGCATTGTATCTGAGAGATACATGAAAAATGCGTTTATTGTAAGAGCTAAATGACAGAATACAGAAAGATCTGCCTAGAATGCAATGTGGAGGTTTCATTGTTAGTCCTTGAACAAACTCATAAGGGTTCTTTCATTCGCCTGTCAAATGGCTGACATCAAAGCAAACATGCATTCGAGAACAAATAAAATATTTAATTGTTTTTCATTTCACTTGTTGCCATTTGGCTTACAGTTCGGCAACGTGTGGATGTGATTTGGCCAGCAGCGTCGATTGCGGCACTTCATTCCAAAAGATTCCAATTTGTGTTAGTGAACTTCCAAAAGTTATAGCCAAGAAAGCAAGCCAAGACACGGCTTACATCTGTAGCAGAAAAGTTCTTTGTGTGGATGCATGTCGTCTGCTCGGCTAATGAATGTAAAACTGAAATTATACTTTGACAGTTTAATAAAAGACTTACAGTTGGCGTGTGTGCATACGTGTGTACGTGTGCGTGCATTCGTGGGCGTATGTGTTTGTGTCGTTGTGTTTTGAATTTTAAATTGAGTGTGTTACACCGCAGGCAGTTAAAAGCACTTATAAACAACTTCTGCAACTTGTGTTTGGCATATGCAAACATATATACACATGTTCCGTCTTCTGATTTAGATTGAATCTTAACCGCAAACCAGGGGCTTTTGTCTACAAACCAAATAATTATTTTAGCTTATTGAATCTAATTTAATATGCAGTGAAGTTATCATAAATGTATAACATCTTATTTTAAATTATTTTTCGTCTCTAACTGACTTGTTTATGTGTTTTGTTTGATTAACTGGCGTTAATTGCATGGCTTTTGCTTTGTTTTGCCTTTAACCTGGTTTCTTTGTCTTTGTCTCTCTCTATTACTAAGCTCTGTCCTTTATCATAACATGAAATTTGGAAATTGTTCATGTAAATATTACCAACAATTTTGCACATAATTACACTCATCAATGAGGCCATCCACATAAGCACCCTTCACAACGTGCTCATCAAATTTGAGATAGAACACAGAAATATTTAGTAGCTATTTTATTTGTTTAGTCTTATGTACACTTATACACTCGTAACAAATACTTATATTGCATTTTGTTGTCTCTGTAGGAAGTGGTGCTGCCCAAAAATCAAGGCTCTCTCGGCTTCAGCATCATCGGCGGCACGGATCACTCCTGTGTACCGTTCGGTACACGCGAACCGGGCATTTTCATTTCACATGTAAGTTAAACGACAGCAATTTGCAGCGTAGTGGGGACAAACTTTTCAAATTAGAGCAATTGACATGCCACAACTTGCGGTTGCAAATGAACTGCACAATTAGTTCCCAGCGTATGCCGACATCTTTGCAAGCAATTAAATAAACCCTGGGTCCGCTGAACTCGCTACTTACTTATATATTCTGACTACCAAGTGTTACCCAGTTTTCCCGGACGAAGTTTTGATTCAAATTTTCACCCGTGGTACATTAACCTTACATCTCTAATTATATCTGAAAGCTAATGCAAAAATTGAACTTTCACTCTTTAAACTCCACATTCCTTATAAAAAAGAGTTGAGGTACAAAAAATGTATGACGACTCTGGAAACTTCAACTTAATTAGTTTGGGCTACGCCCTGACAGCACAATAAACTATATTTATTATATATTCGTTAACGTCAGAAAAAAATTCATTCAATTCTTAGATTGTACCCGGCGGTATTGCATCGAAATGTGGAAAACTGCGCATGGGCGATCGAATATTGAAAGTAAATGAAGCAGACGTCTCGAAGGCCACACACCAGGATGCTGTTATGGAGCTGCTGAAGCCCGGTGATGAGATAAAGCTCACCATACAGCATGACCCGCTGCCACCAGGTTTTCAGGTAAGCCTAACGCGAACTAACTAATCACATTAGTATACTATTTTATTTTAGTATTCAGTTTGCTTTCACGCCAGTTATTAGTTTATGCTGTAAATATATTTTACCAATTATTGTTGTAAAAATCAAAATTTGAAAGCTGTAAATCAAATACGAAAAACCCACTTATACTTCTCTTTTATCTATGCTCTATGAATGCTTATAAAAACATTTACGATGCAAAGCACATAGAAGTAGTTTATATAATCACCGAGGTAAGATATTACGATACTCTACCCTCAGCCAACTATTGGAATTGCTATCGATTATTTGAAACCACACACACTCCATAAATATGTTAAAAATGTAGATAAAGCAGAGCTCACATCAATTTTTAGTTTTCTGATAAGCTATACTTAGATCATACAATATTTTGTATACAAAGTTCTTAACTTAAATTTGGCTTTGGAGGAAATTAATTAGTAGTAACTTAAACTAATTTATTTAATTTATACAATATTTCCATTGAAACATTTTATCTTTATTAATTTGCTAGTCCACTTAAATAGATATTTGCTGTTAAGAATCAGCATAAAACTTATTTTGAAGAAAAAATATACTTCACTTTTGTTAACAGCTGTTCTCCAAAATCTCTAAGTCAAATAAGTCATTGCTCTTAGATATCAACATATTTTGTAATATATATAATATATCTGTCGAAATTATAATTAGTAGCTAGATCATATAGAAAAAATTAAGTTTATTCCAATATACGATGAACTGATAAGAGATCTCACCCACGCTCAATATAAATGCACATTTATCTTTGTATATACGTATGTAGTAAGGTCAACTTAAGTTTGAATAGTTGAAAACTAAGTTTGAAGTCACGACTAGAAGCTATGGAAAATAGTTATTAAGTTTCGCGAAATGGGAAAGAGCAGTTAATGGGTCACAGATTTGCATAACTTAAGAAAGAGGTGCAAATATAAGTTTATTGTTCACTGAAGTGAACATTTTGTAAACTTCGACTGTCAGGATATCTTATCCTTTTTATACCCTACTCCACTGCTAGAAAACTTTGCACTGCTTCGCTAAGCTCCATTATCAACTGAATTGTTCTGCCAAATCCTCCTGCTCCTAATTATAATTGTTGAGCATCCCAACAAAGCCAATGCTAATTTTTATACCATTGTTAATTTTGTTGTTGAAAATCGCAGGAAATTTTACTTGCCAAGGCCGAAGGTGAGCGCTTGGGTATGCATATTAAAGGCGGCTTGAATGGACAACGCGGTAATCCTTTGGATCCGTCTGACGAGGGCGTCTTCGTGTCTAAAATTAACTCAGTGGGAGCGGCACGACGCGATGGAAGGCTTAAGGTAACGACGTGACTCTTTGACAATTGAGCACAAAAGCGAATGCGCTCATTAAGTTCAATTGATTGGAACTGAACAAAACTATACTTTTATCTTACCTCAGGTGGGTATGCGTTTGCTGGAAGTCAACGGTCATTCACTGCTGGGCGCCTCGCATCAAGATGCAGTCAACGTTTTGCGCACTGCCGGCAACGAAATTCAATTGGTCGTCTGTAAAGGTTACGACAAATCTAGTTTAATGCATTCCATTGGTCAAGCAGGCGGCATGAGCACTGGCTTTAACTCATCCACATCCTGTAGCGGTGGCAGTCGTCAAGGTGAGTAAAACTCCATACCGAAATGCCTTTCAATGTTAAATTTCGCCTGAATTTCTGTTTTGCAGGCTCTCGAGCTTCAGAAACGGGTTCGGAGCTAAGTCAGAGTCAGAGCATATCCAGCTTGGATCACGACGAAGAGGAGCGTCTGCGACAGGTGAGCCGAAATTAGCCTGTCCAGTGGCAACAGCCTTTAAACCTTGCCCCTTACAGGATTTCGATGTATTCGCGTCACAGCAGCCAGACATTGCTGCCATGCCAGAGCCCACCAGCCAAACAGGCTTAGCAGCTGCCGCTGCTCTGGTGCATGGTTCGCCATCACCTATACCTACCACCCCGACGCCACCCGCTGGGCCGGCGATGAACAAAGATTTGGAGCAGCCTGATACAGTTGCCGCGCAGACCGTGGCGCTCATTCACGCAGAACAAACACAGCAGCCGCAGACGCAACTGGCAACAATCGGCCAGGAGAAGAGCACCCAGGAGAAGGTAAGAGAATATCCTTGACCTTTAGCTGGCTGGTCAGCAACTTAATGGGCCACGCACTTTCAACCTGCCGTGTTTAAACTAAATTAGGTGCTGGAAATTGTGCGCGCAGCGGATGCCTTCACAACAGTACCGCCGAAATCACCATCCGAGCATCATGAACAGGATAAAATACAAAAGACAACGACTGTTGTTATATCGAAACACACGCTCGATACAAATCCAACCACACCCACAACACCCGCACCTCTGACGCTGTTGCCACCGGAGTCAGCGACCGCTGCACCAGTTGCTGCGGCACAGACACAGCCACAATCGAATCCAAGCCAGCAGCCAACCCAACAACAACAGGTATGTATCCAATACGCACGTCTTCAGCTAACTTACTTCAAATTATCTGTATCTTAATGTGTGTGTGTTCCTTTATAAATGTCCATATATATGTGTGTGTGAGCGCCTGTGTGCGCGAGTGCGTTACTATTGCTCAACATTTTTCAACACATGTCTGTCCTCTTGATTTAACTGTGCTACACTTAACATATACAAGCGCAAGTGACTGCTGTGAACTCAACAAACTCAAAAAATAAACCCCACCACAACTCAACAAATTATTCATTATTATTTATTTATTTTTGTTTACTTGTTGTCTTTAATAACTTTTCCAATGTCTGAGCTTTAGGATACGTGTCGGTGTGGATGAGCCTGTTATTAACTGTGCCTGTTCCATGTTTTACATTTAATATTAAAATATTTTTACAATTTATGCAATTCGTATGCTCCCACAATTGCCACAACTTAACTCATTCCATTCGAAATAACACTCCATCTACTCAAAATTCATAACGCATCCCATTGATAACACACTGTCTGAACCTTATTCTGATTTTGGTGTATCTGCTTGAAATATTATGACCTTTAACTAGAGAACATTTTAATGTATTTCGAATTTGGTAATTTGGTTTCGTACTTGGAAACACAGAGGGGGCAATGGTATGCAGGTTTACTTGGATCTTCTCGCTCTGAAAAGTGCATGCAAGACTTTGATTTTAGAGATTTGTGTTACATAATAAAATCAACATAACTAATGCTGAATCATGTTGCTTAAAAAAATTGTATACTTTCTAGATCATTAGTTAATTAACTAATTAGTATATGGTATTAAAATAATTGTAGGGATAAACTTGCTGCCAAATACAGGAGTTCATATACAAAGAGCATAATAAAAAGAATATATATATATATATAGAAACGTTATCAAAATCTGAATCTGAATTGGAATCATCATATAAAAACAATATTCATCAGAAAAACACTCTTGACGAAATCAATCACAATACTCTCTCTCTCTCTCTTTCTTTCTCTCATGTGTATTCATTATAAATCGTGTTGTATGTATATCTGTTGTTTGCTATATTTTTGATTTGATAGTATTATAGAACTATATAATCACACTTATCAATACTTCGGGGAGTAGGTGTGTGGAGTGAACTGCTGCATGCGAGTGGGTGCTGTGCGAAGCGTTTATATAGTAGTGTATATATTTCTCTCGTTCCCTTTTTCGTCCAGGCCAAGTGGTGCTGGGCTCACGTGCCCGCATTTATTGAAATGGCAGCACACGATTTATTATTTATTAGGATATTCGTAAGGACCTGGTAGAAGACCAACTTACGTTCGTTTTGCCTGCCGTTTGTTGTTGTTGTTGTTGTTGTTGTTGTTCTTTTATTTATGCTACTTACATTTTATATCAATTTCTGTTTGCGCCTTTATTGTTACCTTTTGGCTGGCTGCTACTTGGGCATGGGCGGCATTGTTATTGTGTATGATTGTTCTTCCTGTTGATGTTCTTGTTGTTATTATTATTCTTTGTTGTTATTATTGCTGGATGCCGCTTTGCCTTAAATCCAGTAACATTTGAATTTGCATTGGCAGTAGTAGGAAAAGAGAAAAGTAATACCTAATATTATGCATAGATGGCACGTATAATAAATGTGTATAAATATATATATGTAAGGAATTCAAAATCTGCTGAAAGGAATTTCCATTAAAATATTTCTCTTATCTTTTTCTCGTTCTTCCATTTTATTGCTCTCAATGACATGCGCGCCGTTCGCTGCTTTTCAACATATTGTTTTCCGTGTTTTATTCACCTCTCTTTCCATTATAATTTTTTCTTGAGTTTGCGTAGATATCACTGCAGCGTATTTCTTAACAATCGGATGTTTCCCACCATAAGACTGAGTATTTAGTTTAAAATACAGGAAAATAAAAAGTAAAACACATTTATTTGTGTTAAACAACATCAAAAACAGGATACAGGCAACAGCATGGCTAAGTCGCCCTAATTTAAATGTCATTTACATTCAAAGCCTTTTCGTGTTCATTGGGCAAAGAGTTACTAGTTACAGGAATACAAAATGCACCAAAGAGAAGGTATATCTACATCTATTCGTGGAACAGCAAGTTCACTCTCGATGTTGCCTATAAAGAATACTGAACGCACTTATCAAAGCAAATGGTTTCAAGAGTCTCTCACCGACTAGCTCTCTAACTATATAAATGTTGAAAGGATTTAATATGAATTGTAAACACTAAATCATCACAAAGATATAGCTTCGTCTAGCCGAGGACTTTGTACTCTTGCAGACCTAAATCAAATTATTGAATTCAAATTATGAGTAATCTTCGATTGTGAACTCTACACAATTCACAATACCAAATATGTAAAGATTAGTTTTTACAGTGGCTTTCATATTGGAATTTCCAAATAACGGCGCCACTTATAAACTTCTCAATGCAGCTCATTTTGTAATCAAAAACAAAACAAAAACTCTGCAGAGGTATATATAAAAGAAATAAAAAGCGAAACTCCCAAAAGTCCCTCCTGTTAATTGAATAATGGAAAACCTATTTAAAGTGCAAATGAACTAATTGTATTAAATATTTCTGTGCCGTCATTTTGCGGCGTCCAGTATTAACTCACTGTTAAAGTATTGTTGTATTTCACTGTTTAAAGAGTCGTATATATATATATATATATATATATATATATATATATATATATATATATATAAATATATAAGTATATGCGTGTATCAAAAACACAAACGGTCCAAACATTCAACTAAATTGTACTAATAGATAAATATCATACTACCCGCAACCTTGACGAATAAGCAAAAAATAAAGAGAAATTCTAAGGCCAAGTATTGTAAGAATATTATAATATTTGAGTGTTAATCAATTATCACATACATCTAAGATTATACGTATGAATTGTGTTAGAGCTATTGGAAACCAATTTGTTAATAGTTAATTAGCAAAGGTATTTGATGTATGTTAGCCATTTCATTATTGATTTGATTCTTTGGTTATATTGTTTTTCTTGTTTTTGTTTATTATTGTTGGTCTAAATGACACATGGCTAGATTAATGGAATAATGGAGTGTACATTTTTGATGTCAATAAATGAAATCTTAATGTTATAATCGTACCAACAAATTATTAAGGGGTATTCGAAAGAGTGGTAAAGCCTAGTATATAGTATGATGGCTTTCAGCTCCGTTAGGAGTGGGCTGAAAGCGCTTAGACTGATTGCCAGATGCAGATATCATATTTTGTCCATTTTTGTTTTCATTGTAAGTTATCTCATTGTTTTCTTTCATTCTTGTTAACTGTCCTTGTCTCTGTTTCGCTTCGCTGTATACTCGGGTTTTCAGTACGCTGCAACCTTTGTGCAGCTCATTCCATCCATCAAGCAAATTGGCCAGAGCAACGCAAATGCACCTCATCATCAGACAGAGACATTGCTAATTGGCTAACAAACTGCTGGCGGGGCCTGTACCTCTACGCGTATACGTAAGCTTTAGGAGAATATCGTCGTCGCAGCACCAAATATGTATCATCATGTGCACAACCACCATCAACACACACAACTGTGCTGTCACACCAACAACCACGAAACATACACCCAAACGCACTCAATTAACTTCGCACATTGCAATTTGTGTTTCATGCTTGTGTGAAGCAGTTCCTGCTGTAATCATCAAACAAATACAACACTGAAAACCAAACTGAAAACTAAATGAAAAACCCAAAAATCCAAAATCCAATAGCAGCGCGGCACCCAGACGCCGGAACGACTAGCACCCGGGGCGCGTTACTCATATCAGAAAATGCTGGAGTGCCAGGAAGAGAATCAACCCCAAGGACCAGCACCTACATCTACACCCAAAAGGGCCGAGCCGGTCTACATCATAGACGACGACGATGATGATGATGAAATAGATGCCATTGCTGAGGAAGACGAGTCCTCGCCACCCATCGACTTGACGTCACCTCCTTCGTACGCGGACACCGATTCCGATTGCTTTGAGCGTCCTCGCGGGCGCTATACCAGTGATTCTGAAAGCGATTGTCGGCCGTATAAGCCGTCACGTTCAGGACGCAGCACTCCTGAGTATGCCGGTGGCCATCGAAAGTCTGTTAGCTTTGATCTTAGTGGCGATGAACGCTCAAAATCGGACTATGAGCGCTCGCGTTCACGCACACCAGATCGGTTCACGCGCGCCTATGATTCGGAGCAGGAAACACGTTCAAAGATCAGTAGTCGCATGCCTCGCAAAGGTATCCTCCGTGCGACTAGTCCTAGTTCCTCGACTAATTCCACCCTGGAACGTCGTCCAGATCATTTGGCGCCCATTGTGCCGACCGTTGCGCGCATTATTGAGGTTGATTCACCAAAGCTGCAGCGTGTCTCACGTGCCACATCGCCCGATCGACCTGATGGTGAGCTGGATCGCGAAAATCCATTCCGCCACGTGCAGCCCATTGGAGATGACGAATATACCCAAATTGCCAAAGCAATTAGTATGTCGCCGCGTTCACCGCGCGATCATTTTTTCTTCGGTGGAGCTCGCTCCAACGAGGATCTACTCGAGCAGTCGCATTCCAGCGGACGCAGCACACCTAGCACGGTAATATCCAAGTCAACGGAGAACTTGACAGGCACACGGCCCAAAGTGCCGCCGCCTACGCTACCCAAGCCACAGCTGAAGAAGGCCGATTTGGTACGCAACGTGGCGCTCGAGACGTTCCAGGCGAGTGATGTTGGTCAAGGCGACTTCGCGGTGTTTGAGCACGATGCTAGCACCAATACCATACACCAGGTAGCCAAACTCCCCGTGCGCCTAGCGAACAGGCCCCGTGAAAGCCCACCGCCGCCGCCTGTGAACTTTGCAACAGTTCCCAAGTCGCCTTTGCCCAAGCTAGCGTCGCCGCTATTGGAGGAATCCACTTATATGGAAGCTCTGCCACCGTCACAGCGGCGTCCTCATGATTTCGTACACGAAAACTCTCCGGATAACATATTGGTGACACCAGAGCAACATCGCGACTTTTTGCTACGCGAAAACGAGATGCGGAATCAGCTGCGCGCCCCCTACGAGCCGGCTCCACCCATACCCATAGCAGGCAGCAGCGGTGGTGATAACGGCAGCAACTTTGCGGTAAACAACTCTTTTCTAGATAGTTGCGATAGTGACATTGACAGCCTGCCACTACCTCCACCACCACCAATACCAATATCAATGCCATCACCACCGACACCAACTAATGCCGACCCGCCCACAATGTCCGCCCAGCACTCACATCATTTGCATGAGCAGCCACTAATCGCTGCCGCTACTAACGCAACATCTTATTCTCCCATTGCCATTGCTAACAATTATCTGGATGCCACGCCGCAGCCGCTGCTTTTGGGGTCAGCGTCGCCCACACAAATCTTTCCCACGGCCCAAATACTGCCTGTGCAATACGCCAGCCTGCCGCAACCGCAGCAGCCCAATAAACTTAGACTGGGTGGTGCAGCCTCACCGCCACCGCAGTCTCAGCCTGTATTCAACCTGCTACTGCTGCCCGGCGATCAGCGCCAGGTGGCAGTTGCCGCCAGCTCCTCACAGTCAGCTGTGCTTTTAACCAGCTCAGCTGTGCCACTTTATCTGCAAGCGTCTGCATCGTCGTCAGCTCAGTTACCGGTGAGTGAAACGCGTGTTGCTGTCACATCGACCACGACCACGCCAACGGTCAAATCACCTTCCTATGCCACAATGAAATTTCCAACGTTCTCGGAAATTCTGGTCAGCCCAGACTCAAATAGTAATTATCAGAACATGACCACAGCTCGCGTTGATATATCGAACTCTTCGCTGGGCACCAACAGCACCTTCTCCATTAACTCGTCCAATTCATCGCTGCGGACTAAGACCACCGCAGCGGTGGCTGCACCATACAACAGCTACTATGAGACAGCCGAGGAAATCTATTCGACCATCGAAGAGGAGGCCATTTACAGTAACACTGCGTTCTTTGACTCCCGTCGCAGCAGTGATACCTCCCTAAACTGTCGCGCCTCCAAGTCCCCCACCCCGCCGCCGTTGCCCCCAAAACGACCGCTGAAACCCATTAAGCTGCGCACGGCACCGCCACCTCCGGTGGCCAAGAAGCCGCAGGGTCTGCGCAGCATGGGTAACTTCAAAATACGCTCACAGTCGCAGCCACAGCTGTTAACAACGGCACCTACCACGCCCCAAACGCCCTCAACACCGACTGGCAAGGAGACGACTGTGTAGCCACCAAGTAGCGACCCATTCCCTGCGAGATGTCCACTTGAGTTAGCTACCTCTACCCTCTACCCTATACCGTCTACCGTCTGACTGTTGCTTTCTGGGTCAAGCAGGCGACGCTGCTTAAGTGCTGCCAAGCTAACTACCTAAATTGTGTAACACAAATCCCTTTACCTGCCGCCCACCCGTACAGTCCGTCTTGCGTTTTAATTAAAATCCAACACCTCTCCAGCAATCTATTAAAAATGCAACAGCAAATTGAGCAGCATAGTGCAAGCGCTGCAATTGCTTTCAATATTTATATTTGATTGATTGCCAGCGCCCGTGAAGCCATGGGAACGAGCAACCACTGCAATCCGACACATACTAAAAATCAAAAAAACATGCAACGCGCCTGTATTGCTAATTAGGTGCGACTTTTTGTTGACTTTGGCATCAGATCCCACACCGTTCCACACACACCAATTGCTGCTGAAATGGACCACAGGTGGTCAATGAACAGTGGAAGTTAAATGTGCGTCCCTCATCTGCCGCTCAGGACCTCAATCAACATATTTGCTCCTTTTCTTCATTTCTATCTATTTATCTCTTTCGCTGCTCGTTTTGCGTCCAGATTAATCTGACGTTGATTGAAACAGTTCGTAGCTTAAAGCGCTAAAGTTTGCACAACTCGCCCCGGCTTCATTTTTCTTCTGTTTACACGAATTTGCGAGAAGAATCCCAATGTTAGCGCCCAGACACAGTCACACACAGCGGACATACAAATCACACAAAATACAAATGCAATTTTTACAATTTTACAATTTATATAGTTAATTTTTCCATAGAGCTCTTAAGTTGATTTTAATGCTAATTTATTTTGACTAACAAAACGATGAAACAAGTTGAATATTTTTTAAAAAATACGTATCTTCAATAAACGATTCTGTAATTTGATATGTGGATATCTTTCATTTTGTGTTGTCCCTGCCGTTGGCTATTATAATATCATTGCAAAGCTTATCTAAAAGATAAGCCACTTTATGTGTTACCTCGCGTAGGCTAGCTGTTTCTAGCTTCAACTTGCAACTAACGGCGTCTGCATGCAGGCCACGCGTCATGCCTGCCGAACTCTTTGGCGCTTAGCGCACCACTGATTTGTCGCTTTGGGCGATGTGTCGCATTTGGTGGCATCTCTGTGCCAACTCGCAATCTTATCTTATCAGTTGACATTGTTAATTGCCATAAGAGATAAGCGTTTTTAATGTCTGCGTATCGATAACACTAACACACTTACACACATCAACCATGCAAGCATGCAAGGGGAAGGCAATTAACGCAGCAAGGGTTGTGCCCGAATTATTCTATAGCTTATTGGCTTTTAATGCGCCGACCACAACTGCTTGCTCCTTGTGCACCAGATACTTTAGCTGAGCTCCCAGTGGCCATATTCTCAACACTTTCATGGCTCAATAAGTTTCTATTAGCCCGAACTGGCGACGAGCATCATGGTTGCTGCTGCTGCCTTTGCTCTTACTTCAACGTATTGAGTTTTAATTGAAAATCGAAAAATTCGATACGAAATTAATTTCTCTGCTAAAAATACAGCTCAACTGGATCCTTGATATTGGCTGCCTGCCATGCTGTTGGCAGCTGGCTGCTGGCTGATGGCTTTTGTATATATAAAGTAGTGTACTTGACTTGTCTTTATGGGCTTGAGACGGGGGTGGATTGGTTAGCTGATATCGTTTTTCCATGCACTTGTCGTTAGTTGGTCGCATGGTCGCCTCCTTTATTTATGAGCCTGGCCTTGTGTGTTGGCTATTGTAGGGCTGTTGTTGCATTCGTTACTGTGTAACTGTGCTGGTGTGCGTGTGTGTATGGGCTATACGAACCAAAGGATAAGGTTGCAATTTGTGCAGTTAAACGCTGGCTTTTGCTCTTGCTCTTGCTCTTTCTACACTGGCGCTTAATGACTTTGTCGTCGTCCCAGTAGCCGCCCACGCAAACACCCACAGAAAATTCTACTCTGCCCTCTAGGCATTGGCCTTCTCATATTGCCTAAAACGAAGAAATTGCATGAAAGCATAAAACCGACAGTACATGACTTTGGATGATAAATGGCCTGACCCAGTCATGCTCTCTGCTGTTCGTCGGCCTCAACCGAACTGGCACAGCTGTAATTTGTGTCCCCGCGCCCGTAAATTATAAAAAACAAAGCTTTGATCCCTTACCCATTCCGCCGGATCTTCCCTTTATGATGGAAACGCTGGCTGCTGCTACTTTAGCAACTACTCCCTTTGTCTAAGCTGCTGGCGTATGATGCAAGTAAATGCTCCTCCATCATTCCACGTGCTTTTTAATAAACTTGTGTAGTGCCATCCATTTGGTTTATGGTCGTTTGGATTTCTTTGACTCTTACTTTGAGAACTGCAGTTTTTCCACAGCCGTAAAAAGTATCTAGACTCGAAGCGCGACTGAGCTCAACTTGCAAAAAATTTTAACCTTTATGGATTCTTTGTTGTTTTTTTTCAAATTCAATTTATTTTTTTTTCGTTGACTTGCTAACAAAAGACTTTGCAATTTTCCAGTTAACACCTGCGGCCGACAATGTACCAGCCGTGGTCACACCCACACCCACACCCACAAAAGTGCCTAAATCGGTATCCGACAAAAAACGATTTTTTGAGTCTGCGATGGAGGATCAACAGAAGCCCACACAAAAAGCAGGTTGGTTGAAGTTGAAATTTTCAAGAAACGTAATAAACGAAATGAAATGAATAACAAAAGTAATTTTTAAAAATGCTCGACTGAAAGGTGCAGAATATACAGACAATGACCATAAATAATATTAGGTTAGCTTAGTAATTAGTTGCATAAAAAAAATAATTTGCATCTATTTTCATTTTCGATTGGATAGACAAACATTATTAAATCATGTTAGCTGGATGGTCCAACCAGTTTCTCTCTTTATAGTATATAACTATAAAACCATTTACAAGATGCTTAGGGTATAAAAGAAATAAAAAGGCTTAAAATGAAGCCATTTGAGAGTATATACGTTTCCTGCGTATCCGCTTGCTTTTGTACCTTCTAGTTGGAAAGCTCAGTGGCTTTTATAATTAGAAAAGATGGCGAGCGAGTTGTTCAGACATTTACATGACAAAGAAAAGGGTGCAAGACGGAGCTGTTCCCAGAATATGCCATTTACACGGTTTCTTTACTTTGATATACGCGATGCCACTCGTAGATTAAGGCAAATCAAGCAGGCGTTGCGTAATGCAACAGCTATAGAGCTTTTCATCTTATTTCTTAGTCCGGAGGGAGGGCTGATGCCTTGACGGGTTCAAGTAAAGGATGACATTTAAGTGCGCTTCATTTAATGGGTTTTCTTACTTCCTATAAATTACAGAGAAAGTTTTTTCATTCCTGTCAAAGGATGAAGTCGAAAAGTTGCGCCAGGAAGAGGAAAAGAAAATTGCAACACTCCGTCGTGATAAGAAATCCAGATTATTAGATGCCGCCAATGACAACATTGACAAGGACGACGCCCGGCATGCTGATAAGCAATCGGCTAACGATGACAGCAACAGCAATAGCAGCGGCGATGACAATGATGACGATGAAGACGACATAGATGATGGTCACGACGATGATTATGGAAAACAGATCACGACCAATCGCAAGGATGTCGTTGACAACGTTGTCAGGGCGCAGTTCGATGATGCGGAGGACATTAGGTGAGTGCTTGATGGAAAAGTCTTATTGGATTATTGGTGCTTGCGTTCTTTTTGCATTTTATGTTACATTTCAATGCACAGACACGTCTACAATTGGTCAAACCACAATATAATTATGATAATGGTTCACACACACAGTTACAAATATAAATATTTAAACACATACTAGTTATATTTAACGGTGTTTGTGCATTTGTTTTTCAAATCGTTTTGCTAAATTTTAAGTTTTAGGTTTCATTGGTAAAGTTATCTCGTGCTGCCTTATGGTTTGGTGCTGGTGCTGGTGTAATGATGCTTTTATTTAAGTTGCTCTTAAATTAAATTATCCATAATCATACTTTCTTGCACACAAACACCCACACACACACACATTCACAGACATATTCGCATATGTATACATTATCCATTTCACTCCACATGCCATACACATCCAGCCAAATGATGGACCTAATCATCATCATCGAAACGTAGTGTGCGTTCTAAGCACTTACTATAGTTATTTAAGTAACCCATATATGTATGTATATCTAATTCTAGAGTACGTACCGAATGCGAAAATGGAGGGTATACACCCTAAGTAGTTTAAGTTTTAAGTAGCACTTAAGCGTTCTCTAGATTCATAAATCGCAGCAGTGCCTCAGAGGCGTTTCTCCACTTAAAAACATGTTATGTCCCTTGCTGCATATTTTTAAAGCAACCAGCAGAAAGACAGTGAGACGGAAAGCACGGTATATTTTACTATAATTTTACTATATTATCTATAAAAAGCTCCAGCGTGCTACAACTGCCAGCTATTCAATTTCTTGCGCAGGGCCGCGTCCAGTGGTCATTTATTTTGCAGCGCATTGCGAATACGCAGCGTTGTCAGGAGCTCATGAGTTGCTCAGCTGGAAATGTGCAGTGATATTCCCATCGGCCCAATGCCAGCTGTTTTAAAATTGGTTAACTTCATCATTCAAACAAGCCGCAAATTGCCTTGCGCCGCCTACATACACATTCGACGCATCGTAAATATCAAATGGGCACCTGGCGAAAGGTTCTATCGTAAGCGTGAGCGTGGGCGTGGGCTCGTATACAAGGCAAATACCACCTACTTATAAAATAAGCATTGCGTTGATAAAAGCTCAAAACATCCTTGAAATGTGTAGGCGCATCATATTTTAAAGCGCGCCCACAATGCGTTCTAGTACGCTCTTATATCAAGGGACATTGTCTTTAAAAATTGAATATTATATACAACTTGGTCTCCGAATATAAATAAATAATATTTGCTGAATGACGGATTTGGCAATTATAAATACTAAATTTGTTGTTGGATTTCTCTAGAGTTTAGCTTGCCAGCAGAATCAAGCTATAAAGTTATATATGTAGCAATTCCCGTAAAATGATTTCTACTAATGTATGTCAAAAGGCAACTGGGAGCGACTACTGATGTCACGCTCAGTCCCGGTTCTGGCTTCTGTCACCCTTCAAGCAGTTGTTATTAAATTCTTTGCTCTCGACTGTCTGTCCATGTAACTGGCATTCTCTTACATGTTTATCAGGCAACGAACGCTAAGTGTAGACTGTCGTTGCCTGTGGCGGTGCCGCTTCAAGTTGTTGACTATGGCAGCATTATGTAATGAGCAAGAACAGTGTAATTTAATACAATTTTATACTCTACGTTGTTAAAAAAAAAGAACGCAAACAAAGAATAATAAACGCCTGAAAGTCTGTCATCAAGCGCATAAATGTCTAAATACCCTGGTAATAAATATGAGATAGCTTTCAATAGTAGATAGCAAATAGTGATTTAATGTGGGTAAAGACAACATTATTCTACACTATATAGTAGATAAGATGAAAAATGAATTATAAATAACTTTTTGTTTTCTGTACCAAATTAGATTATTTTCATTATTATAATTTCTTCAATTTTAACTCCTAGTTTTGTTGATTGATGTTGCAAACAGCTTGAAGAAGTTACATAGCCCGCAATTGTCAGACAAGTCGTCATGAAAGAATGACAACGCGAGATATCTTTTAGTAGCACACGGTATCAAGTCGCCAGACAGCGGAACCCCGCAACTCCCATAGGGCAATCAACTGTCTCTGTGTCTTGCTGTCTGATGTGAGTTAGCGAATTAGATGTGTGCAGAGTGTAGCGAACGGGCAAGGGGCTGCCATGAAAATATATCTTATAAACAATGACTGAACGAAGAGTCTTTATGTACATTTGATTATGTGAACGTCTGTAACACGTCAGCAGGATCCAAAGACTGCAATTGTTTTCTTTTCATTGACAGACACAAATAAAATGTAAAACATTTCTTAATTGCAATTCTATTTAAAATACCTGAAGTGCTAATAATCATTTAAAATAATTCCTTACAACTAAAGAGAGAATCAAGTTAACTCGTTGACTGTCGATTACATTACACGAAGGTCTTTGTGACTGGTCAGCAAATCAATGACAACCTAGAAGCCAAATTTGCTCAGATCCATAAACCCAAACCGGCCGGGCCGGACCGATTGACCAAATGGCTTACAACCCGAAATTTACATAAATTTAAATGTGTGTTATTATGGCATTGTAGGCATTGTTCGGCCTTGGAACTCATAACGAAGAAAAGAAGATAAACATGTTAATAACCTATTTAAAAATTTCCCAGCAAGAATTTCTACGAGTCTTGTTTTTTTCTTCTTTTTTTGCGCATAAATTTACATTTTATCGTTGATATAAAAAATAAAAATAAAGACAAACAAAAAAAGTTAGTTATATATTTGTATAGCCACTAAAGCCAAAGCAAATTAGCCGGCAACGCAATGTTCGATTTGTATTTATATTCAAATTAAACTCGTTTAAATCTATAAAAGTGGTGTAGCACAAAGGCTCGGGCAGATCCGTGTTTATAAATTCTTTGCCAGCTTCCGTGGCGACAAATTCGACGTCCGACGGCGGCAAAACGCAATCGAAATATTATTTGTGCATTAATCGGCTAATTTATAGTTTGATAATTTATGAACTATTTCTAGTTGATCCGCTGATGCCGCCGCCGCATCCGTCGCAGCCGCCAGATGCTTAAACGCTTTAGCTAACCACATGCCCGCGGTTTGCTATGGACTCCCTCGCTCTCGCTTTCAATTGGTTTTGGTGGTTTGGCGGTTTGTCGCAGCGGTTGCCCTTGAATTGATCGCGACGTCAAGACAATTGGGCAGCTTTAGCTTTAATTTTTGTTTTGTTTTCTTGGTAGCTTTTTTCTGTTTTTGTTTTTTCTTTGGTATTTACATTTGGGTACGTAGGTTTGTGACCGAGCGCAGCTACTTGGGCCGCTTTTGTGTTTTTATGCAGATGAAAATATTTATGTTTTGTTGATTACGCATAAATTAATTTATATTTTATGGCGTTGGCGCTACATTCGTCCACAAATGGACCGCAGCGCACCGTGGCGCATATGCAAATCAACATTTAGTTGTCTGTGCCTGTATCTGTGTTTTTCTGATATAAAAGCATAATTTGACCTTAAGCTAAAATGAGGGCGTTAATGATGCTTTTTAAATCTGTGTGTGTGCGTTAGTGACAAGCTATTTCATTTGCTCTTCTTCAACGAATACAATTATTGTTTTTTCAGCTTATTATTTTACTCTGTGGCAGATTTTCGATTGTTTTTTCTTGGTATTTTTTTTTTTTTGTACATTTTGCTTGTTGCTTTTGGCACATAAATATTAATTAAAGTTGGAAAAACCACGATAACCTGATGCGATAAAGAATAAGCGAAAGACAACTCGCCGACAGCAACAGCAGCAGCAACACCAACACCAACAGCAACAAATCCAAAGACAGCTGAGCATTTCTTTGCCCGCACGATGAACTTTCTGATTTTGTTAAAAATGTATTATTATTTTTGTAATTGCTTTTTTGGTTGTTTTTCTACCTGCAAGCCCGGTAACAATGCACCTGTTTAATTGTACATCACAAAAACTTTCTGTTTCTGCTTCTCACCAACTTTTTCAGGAATCCACTTGACGAAATTGAAGCAGTATTTAGAAGCTAAAACTTAACTAAGTACACACACTCACAAATACAAATACACCGTCAATCTCTCACAGTTATGAGAATGAGACACGTTTATTGACTAAGTTTTGATATCTAACTATATAGATACGTAGCCTACACACGTGTATTTATAAATAGTTTCTATGCGAGAGACTTTGACTAAAATAAGTAACTAGCTAAAACGAAAAATCAACTAACTCGATCCCACATAATTATGAACACACCTTGTTATATGCAGAACAGTTTTCTTTAGACAATGTTAATGACTACGTAAATGAACAGACTAATATATTTTCTATCGCAGCATAACTTAATAAGTATATATTTATTACTATAAGCCATATTATTTATCTTCTTCAATCGGCGCCTCTTTCATCGTGCGAAACAAAAAACTGCAGCTCAGCGGTGCACACTTTGCCAGCACTCGAAATGCTTTTGCACTGCTCTGCGACACTCACACTCACACACCTGCAGCGTTTCTAAACTACGCACTCACACATACACCCACACTTACTGACACTTACTGACTTACTGACCGCCCTTAGCGCCTGGGGTCGTGTTATTAGCATATTTGAACTACTACTACTCTATAGTACACGCATTTTATATTTGAAAGAAAAAGTGGAGGAAATACGAAATTTATGATAATTTTTAGAGCAGAACAAGGAGCTAATTATTATGCTCTTTGCACGTTCAGTGCATTTGTGCAGACAGAGAAACGAAAAAAAGAAAGTGCCTAGTTGTGTTTGGTATGGGTAATTCCCGAATCTATTTAGTTATGTTTGCATATTTAATTGTTCAAAGAAAGAAGCATTCGTTTTTCATTGTTTAAAATTTAAATGGAAGTTAAATAATTTCTTAAGGATAGCTGCTGAAAACGCGGAGATACAGTTCAACAACTAAAACAGTGTTAATACTTAGTTTATGTACTACTCACAATTCCACGTGGAGATCCTTGAAATATGTTCCAGCTAAACGCATGTATGTTAAGTTTTTGAAAACCATTGCGTTGTTGTCAACGTTAGATTTTTTATATATTTTATAAATATTTATATGAATGTAATATGTACAAAAACCAACTGCACTCTAGCAATGTAGTAATTAATCGATACACACTCACATACATACGCGAATAAATATATATCCATGCATCGTCATCTACAGAAACAAAATCCAACATCAATTAATATTTATGCTCACAACATTGCCAATGAATTTAATGATTAACATGTGCCATATTTCTTATGTCTATATGTATGTAATTTTTGTTCCTCCTCATCATAATGGAAAAATGTCTACAAATAAATGGAAATGATAATCAATTTAAATCAATTGCAGTTTGTCATCCATCTTACATATATAACTATATCACACAAACTATAAACAACAATCATATTTTGGTATCGGGCTTTTTTTCAAATAATTACTGACTTAATATCAAAAATATGTTTTAATTACAACTTTAAGTTGAACACAAAACATAAACTAAATTTATTCCAAGTAAAAGTGCATTGCAAAATTTGTAGGGACATAGTTTACATAAATCTGTCAATTGCAAAAGTTCAGCGCGTTTAAATACTTTATGGTATGTACATAACGGTCTGGTTGTTCTACTGGGTCAAAATGGCGACATCTCTAGTGGCGCCCCCTGAAGGGCCACTGCAAAGTTCATTTAAAAGTCGAAAGGACAAATAAATGAATAAAACGAGACGAGCAAACGGCAGCGCTAAAATGTGAACAAAACAGAAATGAAAATCATATAAAAAATAGTATAACAAGTAAGCGCAGCTCGGCTGGGTCAAACGTGGCCGCACTTAGCCTACAACTGCACCCGCCTTTCTATGCAGTTCTCAGCAGTGGCAGCTGTAGCGACTTCTGCTGCTCGACCATAGGTAGCGAGCTTCCGGATGCCAACGGCGACGTGTAAATTGAAATGCATAAATCACTCAAGTAGAAGTTGCAGCCTTTACAGCGCCGATTCAGCTGCAATAATTTCGAATTAAACTTGAACCAAAAGTGTGTAGCAATTTGTTTAAGACAAAAGCCACTTGCAGCAAGTTCTTAGCAAAAAAAAAGACAAAAAAACAGGCCACAAAGTTTGTCAGTGGCAGACGCAGACAGCGAGTGCATAGGATGTGGATCAAGGGAAGCCGAATAACACTGCCAGATGAAACCTTATTGCAAATAGTTTTAGTGTGCTCACTTTTAAAATTAATTTTGCATATATATATATATATATATATATGTATATATATGGTGAACTGGCATCAGAAGTTTTACGACTGTGCTGGATTGTCTCGGGCTTTGGCCTGACTATGACTCTGTACTCCTGTTCAGTGTTCAGGGCTGTGCCTGTGCCTGTGCCTGTGATCCGCTTCAGTGCCTTGGTTGTCTGCCTTAACACGCTAATCTCCAGATGCCATGTTATTGCACTTGTTGGCAAAGTTGTTCAAAAAGTGATTTTGTCAGTGATGGGTATTTGGTTTGGGCATGGGTAGAAGTTCGCAATGTGTTTCTTGGATTTTAATTACAACAAATTTGACTTGTTATGGCAAAGTTTGTTGCATGGAGCCACGGGCACGTACACCCATCCGACTAAAAGAATTAACGTCATTGTTTTTGTAACCGCTCTCTCATATCATGTGCTAACCGCATTACACATTCACAAGTTGGCTTACCCTGCCAAATTTATGGTAATTTTATATATCTGTATATTCATATGTGTTTTACTCTGCACAATTGAAACACCCAACGAATTTCAAATTCGCAACAAACGACAGAACCGCACAAAATCAAGCGCAGGCAACGCACTCGCCCAGCAAAATACCTAAGCAACTAAAACAGCAGCAGCAAATGAAGACAACGCCCACAGCGATGCCGCCTGGTGATACGCCCAAGCCCTCGCTGCTGCCCAAGCCAAAGGTCAAAGTTGTAATGCCGCCCGCGCTGCAGCAACGTCTTAGGCAGCAGCAACAGCAACAACCATCCCAGCCTGAGGAACCCACCATACACGAAGAGGAGCAGCCTGTCACGCCCACAAGCTCGAGCAGCCGCATACCCGTACGCACGTTGAAGGCAGAACGCCGCGCCCTGGCAGCAGCTGCACGACAGGCAGGCCTCACCGTGGACGAGTACGTCCAACAGTTAGAGGAGGCGGAGCATCAGCAGCAGCTCGAGCGAGGCGCTATGCCGACATCGCCTGCGGTCAAGAGCCGAGCCATGATGAAGTAAGTTGCAAGTGTGGCGGTGAACGAGTTGACAAGCGTGTGAGCAGAAGTTGCCGCAAAGGTCACAGGTTAAAGTTCTAGCAAATCAACAGCTCGTAGGCGTAGCCATTTAGTTTAAGTATCTGTGTGCCACATAGACTTTGACGGCGAAGACAATACGCACACCCACACACAAACACATCGCACACGCATAAGCGAACAGCAACTTCTAGTTTCAGTGTAATTTTCCAGCCTATATCTGTTTATCTATGTAAATCAATCTTTATATTCTAGGGAAACACTTTCAACTTTCATCTAACTTTTAGTTTGATTAAACTATTCTTTTATTTTGTATTAGTATTTTACGGTGTCTGCCTTAGTCACTCGATATCTGTATATAAATACACTGGTATATCTATAGATAAATATTTTTCTCGTAATTTGAGTTCTCTTAGTTAAAAAGCGAAAGACTCTAGCCAAATTTATATTAATATTGCCTTTATGTTTAAATAACGTAGCGCTGAGAAACGCGCCTCTTGGCGTGCGGCCCGCCTTCGCTCACTGGAACAGGGCGCCGTTGAGGCCCAGGACGTGATCAAGAACATGCGCAAGATGACCGATGATTTGATTACGCATGAGTCCAGAGCTAGTGAGGTAAGTTGTCGGCGTTCTGACCACGTTAATATTAATCCACTTTCAAGCGAAACCTCCAACTAAACAAAAAAAAAACATCCCAAAATTCAAACGAACGAACATTCCATTAACATGCGTGTTTTGCCTGAGGATTTCGGTTGAGCCACTCTTAACCAGCTAAAAATACAACCCATAGAGCTACATGGATTGCTTTACTAACCACAACAATATACTAAAATCAGAAATCCAACATACGATTGAATCTGTTTCATGATCAACTGTAACTAACGCAGAGTTAGTTCAATCAAAAGGTAGCTAGAGCATTCATTGCATTGGGAATCCGAAGAAGAGGAAAAGATAAAACAACACAACGAAATAAAATATCCAAATTTCGAATCGCCTAATAATTCTTTTATAAATTTTAACATTCTTTCTCCGTAATGCAGCCGAAAATAGTCTTTCCGAAAATTGCCATTAAGTCGAGCGATGGCCCGGTAATCGTGCGCGAACGCGAGAAAATACTCGATGAGAAAATTGTGCGACGCACTGAGGAAGTGCCCTGCCCCATTACGGGGCAGCCTCAATTGCGCACAGTCGAGTACATTGAGAAAATCATTGAGACGGAGGTTAGCTAATCCAACTGAAATTGTGTATACATCGTATATTTATATTTAATTGGCACCAATTTGAGTTTCGTGAGCAATGCAAATGCGTTTTACATTTCTTTGGTTGAAAGCCGCTTCTGTTGTGTACTCGTAAGCGTTAGCTTAAACGTAAGCGTCATCGTATGGTCTCGCTCTCGATTTTGTAGTTGATTCACGTATTTTGCACACCCTAAAAAATATTTAATGCACTGCGCACAGAGCACCCGTCTCCACTTGTATCATTGTATATAGAAAACAACCATTTCATCAAGACGCTTTCTCTCACTGAACGCAACTTAATTATTTTATAGAGCTCATGATTTTTATGTGCCATCTGCACAAAGCTGCCTGCTGCCCTCTAAAAAGTATCTGCACATCTTGTAAGTGCTATGCCACAAATGTTTACCAGTTATTCATGTTGTTGCTTTTATACTCTGCACAGCTTTCAGTTTCGCAGTGGCTTCCATTGTTGACATTGCGTCAGTGTTGTCCCGCCCACCTGAAACTGTGGCACCGACCGAAATGCAGCACATAAAAAAGACAGTAAGCTACTTTTGCGGCCCATCTAAGCGAAAAGGTCTTGTGTTCCGCAGCGTGAGCGCTACAACAACAAAATCATTTCCGTGCTTATTGTTGTCTTTTAAGTGTCGCGGTTTATAGAATCCCCCCGTTTGTCTCGCCGCTCCATTCGGGTTCTAACCTTCAAAGAGTTTGATTGTGTTTTTGGGGCTTGTTGTTGTCACGTGTCCATAAAGCAACGACGACCGCTTTTAGAGCCAGATATTTGCCTCATTTTATGTATGCAAACGCATTATAATGACGCTCTGCCTTTTATGGCCAAGTCCATTAAAATTAAAGCAAAAGTTTTGTTTCGTTTTCTGACGCTGGGGTCGTTTTAATGATTCCAATCGAAATAAAAACCAACACAACGCAAAATATTTTATAGCCCCTGCTATTTTTGGCCGCAATTCTGAATTTTAAAAATTGTTTGTGTCGCTTTGCTCTACTTTTCAATTTGTAAGCGGAAGGGAGCGATAGAAACAACAAACGGCTAAAATGTCAGCGGCACACCAGGCTCTGCCCAACTACCCCAAGCTCGCTGGCAACTCTAGTGATTCGAGACCAACAACTTTTGCCCGAGGCATGCAGTCTCTACAACTGACCCCAAATGCACAAAATGCTCTGCGGGCGGCCTGCGGCAGTTTTCATAGTTGGCTCAGTGCGACGCCAGTCAGCGGCAAGCTGCAGATTATCGTGTTTTTGGACAATGGGAGCTTTTTACTTTGTCAACGAGTAGACGCTGCGGTCGTCCTTGCAGTCTTCAGTTTGCCAGATGTATGAGATTCATGCTTCATATATCCTTTGGGTCCACTTTCTCATCTTTCACATTCACGCTCTAGTCCACATCACATTAATATAGTTTTGCCTTTGGCTCTTCAGCCTAATTCATTGTTCACAATATTTTATAATACTCTCAGCATATTTGTATATATTACACATTAATGACTTATAATTTTGTTTCTTATTTAATATAATAATTCACATCAATGCAATTTAATCGTTGAGATCATCCAGTTCAATACTTTGATAATTTTAATCAATTTGATCTCGTCCGCTCTGTCTGTAAGAAGTATATAAATAGTTCGCGGAAACTAACTTACACAATTTCTTGAACATGTTATACTGAGTTTGTTAAATATTTATGTAGATAGTTCAGGTAAAATAAGTTATTTGACTTCACAACTAGGGCTCTTAAGGAGAGATACTCAGTTTATGCATGAGCAAAGAATGCTGATAGTTGATATTGAACTCATTTAAATAAAAAATGCTGATAGTTGATATTGAACTCATTATTTAAATATTACTACCTTATTCATACTTTAACTAACTGAAATACTAAAATTCGTTCTGCTACTCGCATCACTTTTACCAATATATTTTCTGTATTCCTGTTATATTAAACTCACAAATTAATTACATAAAAAAGCAGCTGATCCTGTTGTCTTGCAATCATTGTAGAGCAGTAATTAAATATTCAAGCTATTGCTTTGGTTTTGGTCTCGATGCTTGGTGCTTGCTGCTTCCTGTTGCCTTTATTAGTTATTTGTCTGCCAGCAAAACAAATGCACAACATATCGCATTTCGATTCCAATGTATTTAGGTGGAGACCTGCAAGGAGCGCATCATTTCGTTGGAGTTGCAAGTACCGGAGGGGGATGAAGGAACACTTGATGAGACGCAGCCGCCGCTGGAGCTGCAGGCAGATGATGATTTTGACGACGATGATTACGATGACGATGATGACGATGAAGATGAAGAGGAGGACACTGCATCCATTGTTACAGTGCAAGCGAATAACGAGAAACTGTTTCTGCGCCACGATGCGGACAGCTATGGCCCATCGTCCATTGAGAGCGTCTCGTCGGGCAAGGTACGCATTAAAGCAACGCCACTGACAATGCACCAGACGCTAGCCAAGGAGACGACCATTGTGGAGGTGCTGAATCCTGTCATTGGCGGTGATGGCAGCGCGCGAACTATACAAGTGAGTGGCGCGCCCTTCGACATAGATGAGCTTGAGGAAGGCGCGACCTCGCTGCTGCGCAGCGAAACTTTTGTGCTGCCCACTGGCGGCAAGTCGGAGCTGTCATTAAATGCAAAAATGAAGAATGTTCTTGAGGAGCTGCTTGAGAATGAGCGGGTTAAATTGAATTTGCAAAAGAGCCTCGAGGAACAAAGTGACAATGAGAACGATGAGGAGGATGAAACTGAAAATGTCTACGTAGATGCACGGGATGACGATGAGAGCGCTTATGGTGATGCTATGGACGATGTTGTTGACTTTGGCATTACAGCAGTGCCGACGGCTACATCTAAAGGCTTGAGCGATACCAGGAATGGCAATCAGCAGGTGCTAGAAGCACTGATCAGGGATAGCAATCGTAATACCATAATTGGTAAATTGGCCAACCAATTGGCAACGAACGAAGACGACGACGACAATGACGAGGAGGACGACGACGAGGAGGAGGAAGAGAGTAGCGATTCCTCGGACGATGATAGCGAAGACTCAGATGAGGAGGACAATGCTGAGGAGCAACTCAACATTGCCTACGTGCAGGGCGCAGAGGTAATCGAGAATCTCAACACTGTGACTGAGGGCAACAAACTTCAAAAGTCACAGACTTTCAACACCATCAAGGAAGCCGAGCATGAGGAGGACGAAGCACAACAAGCAAGTGGAAAAGCACAATGCAGTAACACACTAGCCCAACTGCAGGCCGAGCAGCGTGCTCTGGCCGAGATCTCAAAACAGCTACGTAAATCTGTTGAGGATTTGCTCAGCGCCGATAGCGGCGCGGTAGTGGAAACACAACGCACATTTACACTACCAGCGTCCAGCCACAGCCCTGCTATCGTCACCGTCACAGAGGTGGTGAAGAAACAAACGAAAACTGGACGTCAATCGGCCACTGGCGAATCTGGAGAAGCTATATTTAATCGCTTACTCAGCAGCGGAGAGTCTCAGCGTCAAATTTTCGATGAGCAGCAAGGCGAAACCATCACAACCACTACAACAACCACAGAGGCGCTGCCCGCAGCGGCAGCGGCTGCTGCTTCTGGTGAGCCAAGCACCAGTGTGGTAACCACAACGCGCACTGTTTCCAACATTGTCACCAGCGGTATACCGAGGCTTGAGCCGAGCAAGCAAACCAGTCGCAACAGTAACAACAGCAACAACAACAACAACAATCGCAGCAAAAACAAGCGCAAAGGCAAGAAGAAATAGGCAGTAGTGACCGTCAAATTGCGTATACGACACATGGTCTGTAAAGCATTTAAATAGACATTCACTCACACACGAATATTCTCACAAGCCCTTCACCAGCAACCCCTCCCCCATATAGACATAGTCACATATCAGCGCATTGAGAAACATTTGGCAATGTGCCGTTATACATAATGTATGTAAGTTCCATATACATATGACTACATATGGACATGGGTATATACCATATAGTATACATGCGTGTATATAATTTTAATTAACTGTGCAAATAACTTGTCGTTGCATTAAAAAAAAAAACACATTTGTAACTAATCATAAAAATTCGCGCAATATAAAAAAACTGCGTTTGTTATTGAAAAAAATATTAAATACAACAAAAACTTAAACACTGTGAGCTTTTAACAACATTTAATTAGGTAATCACATCAATTGGCAATTAAATTTACCTGAAGCCCAAGTAACTAAGTTGCAATGAACAAAATCTTATTTAATTAATTTAAATAATTTCACTTTGTTTTGCTTTTAATATTCATTTACATTCCCTTTTTTCATGTCACGTGCAAAGAATTGTTCGCAAATGAAATTGATTTAAATGATGCGTTTTTTATTTTAGCACAATAAATGAAAAATAAAAATTACATAAATTATAACCGGATATTTAAATGTGAACCGGTCAACTACTTTTTGATGCTCCCGTCGTATGCAAAACTTTATACTTCGAGCATTCCGACTGTCCACTTTAAGTTGGGCATTTATCTTGAAGTCTAGCTCTAAGCGAAACAACATTAAAAACAAACAACATATATTTAAAAGAACATGATTTTTGATGTATGTATTCATCGCCTTGCATTACTCAGCTGCTGCTGATCTTGCAGTTAATGTATGGAAAACAGCAACTGTCAAAGTAGTCAGTTTCTTTAAATTGTAATTGTACAAATGCAATGCGAGTAAAATTATATAAAATCGATCTATATAAAATGTGTTTAGTATGTAAGCAAATCAACCTTTTATAAACTGACAAAAGAAAACACACTGTACAATAAATAATTCAATTTATTTTTTATTTTTAAAAAAATCTTTTACTGTGGTTACCACGCATATATATATATTTCCAAAATTAGCGAGAGTAGTCTGCATCAAGTTTATTTTCTATCTTCTTTAAAATATTTCAGGCCAACCTCATTTTACTTTCTATTTATGGTAAGTTTCATGTTCCCACGCGAATTTTTGGGGAATTCGGTCAAATAGCCAAAAAGCGTGCTGCCATTTATCACATCCGAACATAAATACACAAACGTGCTATTTTTGTACGAGTTTAAGAGTGGCGTGGATTATAGGTTGGCAAATAAAGCTTAGCCTGAGCCATTAGGTTTATATTTAGGTAGCGTCATGATACCAGGTAAAGCCGCACAGAGGCTTAATACGAGAAACGAAACAGCTTCTATACTTGGTGTCTATTGCAATTACAGCTTTTCAGATACGTATAATAAACATGCGATCATAGATTATCTGTAGGTGGGGAATTTGCACAATATTTGTCAATACTGATGATTTGGAATTTATCGTCATATACAGGTTGTATGAAATGAATTTTCAAATACCAGCATTTGGAAATTATTTTAATAAACATGTGAGATAAATGGAATATTTTAAATTAAATTAGTGGTTTGACTAACTATGCGTTAGTTAAAATTTGTATAAAGGTACGTATATTTTAACATTTTAAGATTATCAGCCATTTTACCGGAATATTACTTATAATGGAAAATGATATCCAACTAAAAGCGAAACATCATTGGCCTGATTAGGAGTTTTTCTTTAAATTAAACATAATATTATTTTTATTAAAATCTTCCTCGTAAAGTTAAGGAAATTAAAGACAAGCATTAAACAGAGCGACTGTGATGTCTGCTTAGGTAACAGTACAAGGCTGGGGACATCAAGCTTAATGGCATTACGGAAAATGTTTTCATTTTAGAGAATGCGCAACAAAACTGCGTCGGAAACATCGTGTGTTGAGGTTGTCAACAAGATAGACAGTTGGCTGGTAGATGGGCGAGGACTCTTAATGTAAAAATCGTTAGAGTTTGTTGCGCGCCCAACATCATCACATCAACATCAATTCGAGCAAGATTCAGATTGTAGCGGAAGTTCTCGACTCTGGGAAACATTGAACGTTTGGAGCTCACGTTGCGAATGTGCAACGTGCATAATTCGATTGCAGAGAGAAGGTATACGAAATGTACGTAATGCAGATACCTGCGTCAGCATTTTAAATATTTAATGTCAACCAATTGAATTACACTGCAAAACTAGTCAACGAATCCCTCCAGTGGGCGCTAGTCCCGTCGCTGCTCCTGCTCCTGTTGCGGCTGCTGCTGTTGCTATTGACGCAAAACCTTGTTGCATGTGCAAGGACTGGTGCCAAGTGCAACGCTTCTGCGTTGGGCAGCTCCGCTGCCTGCCGCGTGCTGAGCAAGACAAATGAATGCAGCATGCCCTTGAGTCCCCGTTGCATTTGCATTTGTTCAACATTTCAAGTGCAGGCGCCACGCAGACGAAACACTGCGGGAATTCGGCAATGTCGCAGCTAATGCTGGTGCAGCCCCTACACCAGCAAATGTGCTGCGCATTAATCAAAATCTCATTTTTGCAGGACCAGAAGCTGTCGTTATCATTATGCATGATGTTGTTGCGGTTTAAGTAAAAGCAGTTTGTCACATTTTAATCCACTCCACTGATCTTGCAATGCAGCCAGTGCCATCGCAGGTCAGCGGGTGTGCTCATTACATGGTCTGTCTGCGCCACGACTCTAACCAATTGGCGTTGCCTGTCACATTTAATAGGATAATGCTTGGTTAAACACGAAATGCCCTTACTCACCCACATACCCAGACCTACATACATTTTTATTCGTTCACATTGTGCGCTTGCTAATGTATGTTGGTCCGGGTGTCAAATTTACAACATTTGTTGTTTGAAATTTTTCACACTACGCACATAAATTGTGGAAAAATGTTTCATGGTGTAACTCCTGCTTCTGTTAGTCAACGAAGCTGGTGAAAAATGTCCAGTGTGCACTTCAGGCTCACATACATGAACAGACACATATACACAGGTGTCCTACGCTGTGCTAGTCCTTGGGCGAGCTCATCGTGTTGTTTGCCTCCGCCAGTTACTGAGTTATCTGGCAAATATTGGAACGTGCTGTGCAGCTGATGCGTTTTCATAAATTTCAAATAAACGCAGCAGCTGCCACACTGCTTCGAGGGAGCAAGAAAAGATTCTCTACAACAGCATCACAAAAACCTCTGACGAGAGCAGATGTCTGTGCGCCTGCATAATTTGCAATATTAGCGCAGAGCTTAGCTTGGAAAAGCTTGTTAAGTGGTCAGAAATGATTTGATTTCACAATTAATCAAGTCTTATCAGCTACAAACATGAAAGACTTCCAACGCAACTGAAGACAACCAGGTGATTTGCAGTGGGAAATGAAATTCTAAATTCTAAATTCGCTTAAAGTATTTACATAGCAAATTAATACTGTTGCTTAATACGAAAAATGTTGGAATATACAGAAATTTAATTCGCAACTCAAGGTTTCTGATTTTATTTTATTACTAATAATAATGTTAAAAGAAAAACACCGTTCCTTCTAGAGTCATACTACTTATCATATAAATTGGGGCTTGCGTGTTGTTAGTTCGAAATACCCAGTGCAAGTGCCAAGAGAGTATACTTCCGAAAACTGAATGCCAATTGAAGAATTTTTCTTACTGGCATTAATAGATATGTAGATATTTTAAAAGCATATAAACCCATTTATACCAAAAACAAATAATATCAAGTAACAAAAATTTACTACTACTATTCCCCACTAGGCGATAACCGGATCCCAGACGTATATGTGTTTTTTAATATTTTCCATAGTTTGCATAGAGTATTAAAAAAAGATTCGAACCCACTATTTTTACGCAACGCAAACCAACTCTATCAACGCCGCCACTTCATAATTAAAAAATAAAACAATAAAAAATATTCACCATGTTCCAGGCTCGATTCCAGGGATTAACCGCTTACGAGCGCCACCTCTACCAACGCAGCCACTCAAAAATTGAAGTTTAGTAGCAGCTAATAGCTCAGCACAATTCAATCGCAATTCATTCAAGAATATATAATCTTTATGAGGTCTGCCACGCCTCCTTCTGCCTGTTACACATATTTGCACAAAACCATTATACCCTTGTTTACTACTTTCAATGGGATCAGAGTATAATAAAACCTGTAGTCATATGCGTTATGTAGCCGAAACAAAAGCAAAAAAATTAAGCGAAACCTTTTCTGATTGGACATTTGTTGCATTGCTTTTAACAACTATGTGGACAATACTAATACTGTTTATTATTGAATTATTTTAGACTGTATAATGTAATTGCAAATTAGATTGTCAGTGGATTTTCCATAATCTTTCACAGATTAGAAATTAAATAAATTCCATATAAAATACGCGGCTTCAGTAGGTTTCCAAGTTAATATTTTGCAGATACATGGCTCCCTAAAAACGTAGGCTGCAGGGACAATGACAGCACAGGTTGCAGATAAAAGTGCAATGGTCGTCCTGTAATTTAGATTGCAACTCCTGGCTCAGCTTAAAGCCGCCGTGTGATGTGACTTGTTGTTGTTAACCTATTTTTTTTATTTAGCCTGTTGCTATTTGTTGGTACTTGCCGAAGCTGTTGTACGCATGCGTTGGAATGCCGCAGAAACTGTTGCAGTTGGCAGAACAAAAACATTGCCCCTAAAAATACCAGCTTTATCCGTGTGGCTTATCCAAAAGGCAGCTGCCTTTATTAGCTGCCTGTGTGAGTGGGGCACATCCCCAGGGCAGTGTTCGTCATCGTCGTCGTCGTCATCATACTCTTTCCCCCTAACCTGGAAGCCCACGCAAAGTTTTGTCTTTCCTTTTTTTTAATTTTTTTTTTCAAAGCCTGGAATGCGTATCTTTTGCTGGTGTTGGAGTCTTCTTTTGTTTCTGTGAGCTTCAGACTTTGGCTGCTTTACTTTGTTTCCCAGCTCGGATGTCTTGAACTGCTGTGGCTGTGGCGACTGCTGCTGCGACTGGTTTGCAATTGCAATTTTCAAGGATAAGGGTAAGCTCGAAACAGATTTATATGGGCGGCCCAGTACGTGCAGAATTTATTAATGCTGTCCCAACTATCGGTATGTATAGATGCTCCCTACAATTGCTGACCTATGCCGCAGTGAGCGAGCTCTTAACAAGGACGCCCGTCTCGGGTTATATAAGGTGTGCTGTCTGTCATATTGAAGTTCGCACATCAGCAATGAGCTGGGAGCTCACGATGCCGGCGGGCGTTTGAATTAAGAGACTTGTAAGGAAAATAGACAGCACTATACTAACCATAGTTGTTGTCTTAGTATTGTGGCACGATGTTATGCCGTCGGATCTATGAACCAAAATGACGCGAGTAGCAGGTGGTCCTTTAGCTAGTGTCTGCGATTCTGAACAACACTCACGTATTCGCATTAACAAACTTTGGTGCTTCAACTGAAGTCGAAATGCAAAGACCAACATAATCAAAAAGATACTGGCTAAAATTGTTAGAAATAGTGCAACCATTAGTAAAGGCAAAGAGCAGCAAAATGTTATCTGTATTAGTGTAGTTGTTGGGCATAGTTGTGCAATTCAACCGTGGCAGAGGTAGAAGCAGCAGTAAGGCTTGGTTTGATTCTGCCTATCGCACTTAGATACATGGAAGAGAGGAAAGTTATGCAATACGCATAATTGAAGACCCAATTAGTTGAGCTTTTAATGGAATAAACATTATTAAGAAATGTAAGATTTATATTAAAAAATAAAAAAATGACTCACTTGCGAACATATTTAAACATCATATAAATTTAATAGTTCCTGCTTTTTCTAATTAACGCCAATTAAAGAAATATAAAAATATGATCATGAATCTTATCAGCCGGAAACACAATAAATAACCCAAATATCTTGTTTAAAT